AAGACAATGGGCCCCACCGTGGAGGAGGAGAGACTGGAGGTGGAGGATCATCAGGACCTCGGGCGAGCGGGCTTCCGAGGGGCGGGGCTCACAGCCCCCGCGGGGGCGGAGGGGCGGGGCGCCCCGAGCGGCGCGCGGCGGCCAACGCGCGCGAGCGACGACGCATGCGCGGTCTCAACGAGGCGTTCGAGCTGCTGAGGGGGGTGGTCCCCCGCGCGGGTGGGGGCGGAGCCAATGGGGGCGGGGCTTCGTCGCACCCCTCCCCCCCCTCAGGGGGTGGGGGCTCGTGCGGCCGGAAGTTATCCAAGCACGAGACGCTGCAGGTGGCGCTGCTCTACATCGCGGCGCTGAGCGACGCGCTCGCGCAGGGGGGCGGGGCCGAAGGTCAGGGGGCGGGGCCAGCTTGATTAAAGAGGGCGTGGCCAGGCTGACAGTGGGCGGGGCTACAAGTATATAAGGGTCGGGGAGGGGGGTGGGGGTGTCATTAGTGTCGGGGTCAGGTGGTGCAGCTGGTGGTGCATCTACCGGTCATCTTGGTCAGCCAACCCATGGCAACCTGCTGGGTCTGTCCCGAGACCTCCTGTCAGCGAGCCTTTGACACTTCACGTGGTTTCCTCTGTGCCAGGCCAAGTGCACCTGGCCTGGCACAGGCGCCGTGGTGACGGCCACCGTCACTTCAGTGGCGGTATTGGGCCCCGGGGCTTTGTGGGTGGTCGTGGGTTGTGGTGGGGGCTCGGATAAAGTAGGGGGGGCTATGTTGGGGTCAGTACGCAATGGGCATATCGCTATGGAGGGTGGGGCTGGTGCTGGGTAGGCGGGGCTATTGTGGAGTGGGCTGAGCTCTGGGTCTCGTGGAGTCGCTCGGTTTGAAATTTCGCGCGCGTGCGGCGGAGCTGAGGGGTGTGACGAGGGGGGAGGAGTGTGACGAGGGGGGAGGGGTGGGACGAGGGGGGCAGAGACCGCCCCACTCGACTTACCCCCGCGTGGTTTCTTGAAGCTTCGGAAAACTGCAAGAGGCGACGTTTCGGGCAATGGCCCTTTTCCACGCACGCGCTCGCGCAGGCGCGCCGCCGCCCGCCGACTTGCCATGCCCGATGTTTTGAATGAGAAACCGAAATAAATTTGTATATTTTTGTGATGGTCGCGTTCTGTGTGGTTACACCATCACAGCACACGGCGGGTGTGGGGATGGCGGTGGTGGTTGGTGGTGGTGGTGGTTGTTGTTGTTGTTGTGAGGTGGTGTTGATGCGGTGTTTGTAGCGGTCGTGTTAATAATGGTGTGGTGGTGGTGGTGTTCGTGGTTGTGTGGTGATGTTAGTGGTTGTGGTGGTGGTGTCATGGGGGGGGGGGGGTGGTAGGTGGTGGTGAGTGCGACGCGTTACGAAACCAACGACCCAAGTTCGATTGCCGCTCACGGCCGCCAAAACCAAGCGGCGTTCACATGAACAGGTCCTGGGCCTCACTTAGGTAGACTCGGCCTCAAATGAGTACCTTGTGCGGTGTGTGAAACGTCCCCACTGGAGAGACAAAGGCGGCCGGGCGTGGTGCTGACCACCTATCCCATCGTGTGCCGTGCCGGCCTTCATATCTATGTTGAACTTCTTTTGCACCGTACGTAGCCAATCGTGCTAATAGGTGCTCGCTAACAGCACTTGCCCCATCCGCTGGAGCCGATTAGACCCCGACACAGCAGCCCCCTCCTCGTTAGCGGTGATTGTGTTGAGTTTATTGTCCTTATACCGCGCCTCCGATTAGCACGGTGGACTACGTACGGTGCGAAAGAAGCTCAACACCCCGTACAGACATACACACAACACCCCAACAAAACACCACACCCCCACCACACACCCTCCACACCCCCATCACGCCACCACACCTTCACCACGCCACCACACCACCACACCCCCACCACACCTCCACCACACTCCACCACACCTCCATCACCCCTCCACCCCCACCACACTCCACCTCTCCCCCACCACACCTCCACCACACCCACACCACCACACCCCCACCACCCCACCACACCTCCACCCCCCACCACACCCCCACACCCCCACACCACCACACCCCCACCACACCACCCCCCACACCACCCCCACCACACCATCACATCTCCATCCCCACCACAACCACACCCCCACCACACCCCCACTACACCCCCACCACACCCCCACCACACCACCACCACCACCACACCCCCACCACCTCTCCACCACCCCGCACCACACCCCCACCACACCCCCACCACACCCCCACTACACCCCGACCACACCCCCACCATACCCCCACCACACCACCACACCCCCACACCACCACCACACCACCCCCCACCACACCCCCACCACACCACCACACCACCACACCCCCACCACACCACCACCACCACCCCACCACCACCACCTCACCACCACCACCCCACCACCACCACCCACCACCACCACACCCACACACCACCACCCCAACCACGCCAACTCCACTCATCGCGGTGCGACATCGCCCCCTGGCGGCCAAGACGACCTCTCCCCCCCCCCCACTCACAAAGACAAAGATCTCCCGTGTAGCCTTCACAGACTGTTAGGGCAAATGCTGTTAGTGAGCAGCACCTGTACGATGAGTCAGCACCCGCCCGATCACCTTTGTTTACCCCAGTAGCCAGCACCATGCGCGAAGAAGTTTACACACCACACAAGATGCTGATTTGAGACTCAGTCGACCTAGGGGAGGCCCAGAACACGTTCGGATAATAATGAATCACCGGTGTTGGCCGTGAGCGGGAATCCACAGACTCTTTCACACACTACGAACACACAAACCCATGAATACACTAACACGTAACACACTAACACGCCCATTAACACACTAACATCTGCATTAACACACTGACACGCTAATGAACACACTAACACGCCCATTAACGCACTAACATCTGCATTAACACACTGACACGCTAATTAACACACTAACACGCCCATTAACACACTAACACGTCCATTAACACACTAACATCTGCATTAACACACTGACACGCTAATTAACACACTAACACGCCCATTAACACACTAACACGCCCATTAACGCACTAACATCTGCATTAACACACTGTCACGCTAATTAACACACTAACAGCCCATTAACGCACTGACATCTGCATTAACACACTGACACGCTAATTAACACACTAACACGCCTATTAACGCACTAACATCTGCATTAACACACTGACACGCTAATTAACACACTAACACGCCCATTAACACACTAACACGCCCATTAACACACTAACACGCCCATTAACGCACTAACATCTGCATTAACACACTGTCACGCTAATTAACACACTAACACGCCCATTAACACACTAACATCTGCATTAACACACTGACACACTAATTAACACACTACAACGCCCATTAACGCACTAACACGCCCATTAACACTCTAACATCTGCATTAACACACTGACACACTAATTCACACACTACAACGCCCATTAACACACTAACACGCCCATTAACGGACTAACATCTGCATTAACACACTGACACGCTAATTAACACACTAACACGCCAATTAACACACTAACATCTGCATTAACACACTGACACACTAATTCACACACTACAACGCCCATTAACACACTAACACGCCCATTAACGCACTAACATCTGCATTAACACACTGGCACGCTAATTGACACACTAACACGCCCATTAACACACTAACATCTGCATTGACACACTAATTCACACACTACAACGCCCATTAACACACTAACACGCCCATTAACGCACTAACATCTGCATTAACACACTGGCACGCTAATTAACACAATGACACGCCCATTAACGCACTAACACACTCACATACGCATGAACACACTAACATAGTCACATACTCATTAACACGCGCCAAACATTCGAAACATCTAACGCCTCGTGTCTACTCAACACTCCAAACAAAACCCCTCCACTCACCCCACACTACACACTTACACACCCCCCCACACAACCAACAACCCCCATTACAACACACTACACACCATAAACACACACACTACACACCATAAACACACACCCCATACACTATAAACACACACACACCACGTACATACAGCACACAAGGACAACCCAACGCACCACACCACCCACACACACAGACACCAAATTAGAAAGGCCACTCAATTATATCCACCCGCGCGCCATATCCACTACACACAACACACAAACACCCCACAAACAACAACACCCCCAACACACACCGACACACACACCACCCTGCCCCCCCCACCCCTCATACAAATATAGCGGCCTCTACAAATAGCGGCGACTCCATCCCCCCCCAGAGACCCCCTCCTCCCCTCCTACCCCCTGTGTTCCCCCGCTCCCCCCTCCCCCTCTGTTCTCTTCTCCCTTCCCTCTGTGTTCCCCCTCGCACACCCCCCCCCCCCCCGTGTCCCCCTTCTCCCCCCATCGCCCCCACACCCCCGTGTCCCCCTTCTCCCCCCCCTCGCCTCCCCTCTCCCCGTGTCCCCCTTCTCCCCCCTCCCCCGTGTCCCCCTTCTCCCCCCCCATCGCCCCCCCCCCCGTGTTCCCCTTCTCCCCCCTCCCCCGTGTCCCCCTTCTCCCCCCTCCCCTGTGTCCCCCTTATCTCTCCCACTCGCCCACCCCCCGTGTCCCCCTCTGTTCCCCTTCTCCCCCCTCGCCCCCCCCGTGTCCCCCTGTGTTCCCCTTCTCTCCCCCTCGCCCACCCCACGTGTCCCCCTTCTCTCTCCCCCTCGCACCCCCCCCCTCCCCCGTGTCCCCCTCTGTTCCCCTTGTCCCCCCCCCTCACCCACCCCCGCGTGTCCCCCTGTGTTCCCTTCTCTCCCCCTCGCCCCCCCCCCCGTGTCCCCCTGTGTTCCCCTTCTCTCCCCCTCGCCCACCCCCCATCTCCCCCGTCTCTCTCCCCCTCGCCCCCCCCCCCGTGTCCCCCTCGCCCACCCCCGTGTCCCCCTCTGTCCCCCTTCTCTCCCCCTCCCTCCACGTGTAATTGCCTCCCTCTCTGTCTCGCTGCAGCTCCCGTTGAGTCTCTCTCCTTTTTGCGTGGGGAGTGCAGCTCGCGACGCCACGAGGTGAGTGAGGGGTGAGTGAGGGGGTGAGTGAGGGGTGAGTGTGTGTGTGAGTGAGGGGTGAGTGTGTGTGTGAGTGAGTGAGGGATGAGTGGGTGAGTGAGTGAGTGAGGGGGTGAGTGGGTGAATGAGGGGTGAGTGAGGGGTGTGTGAGTGTGTGAGTGAGGGGTGAGTGGGTGAGTGAGTGTGTGAGGGGGTGAGTGAGGGGTGAGTGGGTGAGTGAGGGGTGAGTGTGTGAGTGATGGGGTGAGTGTGTGAGTGAGGAGGTGAGTGGGTGTGAGTGAGGGGTGAGTGAGTGAGGGGGTGAGTGGGTGAGTGAGGGGGTGAGTGGGTGAGTGAGTGAGTGTGTGAGTCAGGGGGTGAGTGAGGGGTGAGTGAGGGTGTGTGAGTGTGTGAGTGAGGGGTGAGTGGGTGAGTGAATGTGTGAGGGGGTGAGTGGGTGTGTGAGTGAGGGGGTTAGTGAAGGGGTGAGTGTGTGAGTGAAGAGGTGAGGGGTGAGTGAGGGGGTGAGTGTGTGAGTGAGGGGGTGAGTGTGTGAGGGGTGAATGGGTGAGTGAGGGTTGAGTGTGTGGGTGAGTGTGTGAGTGAGGGGTGAGTGAGTGAATGAGTGAGGGGGTGAGTGGGTGAGTGAGGGGGTGAGTGAGGGGTGAGTGTGTGAGTGAGGGGTGAGTGTGTGAGTGAGGGGTGAATGTGTGAGTGAGTGTGTGAGTGAGAGGTGAGTGGGTGAGTGAGGGGGTGAGTGGGTGAGTGAGATGTGAGTGAGGGGAGAGGGGGTGAGTGAGGGGTGAGTGTGTGAGTGAGGGGTGAGTGTGTGAGTGAGGGGGTGAGTGGGTGAGTGAGGGGGTGAGTGGGTGAGTGAGTGTGTGAGTGAGGGGTGAGTGTGTGAGTGTGTGAGTGAGGGGTGAGTGTGTGAGAGGTGACTGAGGGGGTGACTGTGTGACTGAGCGGGTGAGTGTGTGAGTGAGAGGGTGACTGAGGGGGTGACTGTGTGACTGAGGGGGTGAGTGTGTGAGTGAGGGGGTGAGTGAGGGGTGAGTGAGTGAGTGAGGGCTGAGTGAGGGGTGAGTGTGTGAGTGAGGGGTGAGTGTGTGAGTGAGGAGGATGAGTGTGCGAGTGAGTGAGTGTGTGAGTGAGGGGTGAGTGTGTGAGGAGGTGAGTGTGCGAGTGAGGGGTGAGTGTGTGAGGGAGGGGTGAGTGGGTGAGGGAGGGGTGAGTGGGTGAGTGAGGGGGTCTGTGAGGGGGTGAGTGTGTGAGGGGTGTGTGAGTGAGGGGTGAGTGAGTGAGTGGTGAATGAGGGGTGAGTGAGGGTGAGTGTGTGAGTGAGGGGATGAGTGTGTGGGTGAGGGGGTGAGTGTGTGAGTGAGGGGTGAGTGTATGAGGGAGGGGGTGAGGGGTGAGTGTGTGAGTGAGGGGTAAGTGTGTGAGTAAGGGGTGAGTGAGGGGGTGAATGGGTGAGTGAGGGGTGAGTGTGTGAGTGAGGGGGTGAGGGGTGAGTGGGTGAGTGAGGGGTGAGTGAAGGGGTGAGTGTGTGAGTGAGGAGGTGAGGGGTGAGTGAGGGGGTGAGTGTGTGAGTGAGGGGGTGAGTGTGTGAGGGGTTAGTGGGTGAGTGAGGGGTGAGTGTGTGTGTGAGTGTGTGAGTGAGGGGTGAGTGAGTGAATGAGTGAGGGGGTGAGTGGGTGAGTGAGGGGGTGAGTGAGGGGTGAGTGTGTGAGGGAGGGGTGAGTGTGTGAGTGAGGGGTGAATGTGTGAGTGAGTGTGTGAGTGAGAGGTGAGTGGGTGAGTGAGGGGGTGAGTGGGTGAGTGAGATGTAAGTGAGGGGAGAGGGGGTGAGTGAGGGGTGAGTGTGTGAGTGAGGGGTGAGTGTGTGAGTGAGGGGGTGAGTGGGTGAGTGAGGGGGTGAGTGGGTGAGTGAGTGTGTGAGTGAGGGGTGAGTGTGTGAGTGAGAGGTGACTGAGGGAGTGACTGTGTGACTGAGGGGGTGAGTATGTGAGTGAGAGGGTGAGTGTGTGAGTGAGGGGGTGAGTGTGTGAGTGAGAGGGTGACTGAGGGGGTGACTGTGTGACTGAGGGGGTGAGTGTGTGAGTGAGGGGGTGAGTGTGTGAGTGAGGGGGTGAGTGAGTGAGGGGGTGAGTGAGTGAGTGTGTGAGTGAGGGGGTGAGTGTGCGAGTGAGGGGTGAGTGTGCGAGTGAGTGAGTATGTGAGTGAGTGTGTGTGTGAGTGAGGGGTGAGTGTGTGAGTGAGGAGGTGTGTGTGCGAGTGAGGGGTGAGTGTGTGAGGGAGGGGTGAGTGGATGAGGGAGGGGTGAGTGGGTGAGTGAGGGTGTCTGTGAGGGGGTGAGTGAGGGGGTGAGTGTGTGAGGGGTGTGTGAGTGAGGGGTGAATGAGGGGTGAGTGAGAGGTGAGTGTGTGAGTGAGGGGATGAGTGTGTGGGTGAGGGGGTGAGTGTGTGAGTGAGGGGTGAGTGTATGAGGGAGGGGTGAGGGGTGAGTGTGTGAGTGAGGGGTAAGTGTGTGAGTGAGGGGTGAGTGAGGGGGTGAGTGGGTGAGTGAGGGGTGAGTGTGTGAGTGAGGGGGTGAGGTGTGAGTGGGTGAGTGAGGGGTGAGTGAGTGAGTGAGGGCTGAGTGAGGGGTGAGTGTGTGAGTGAGGGGATGAGTGTGTGGGTGAGGAGTGAGTGTGTGAGTGAGGGGTGAGTGTATGAGGGAGGGGGTGAGGGGTGAGTGTGTGAGTGCGGGGTAAGTGTGTGAGTGAGGGGTGAGTGAGGGGGTGAGTGAGGGGGTGAGTGAGGGGGTGAGTGTGTGAGGGAGGGGGTGAGGGGTGAGTGTGTGAGTGAGGGGGTCAGTGTGTGAGGGGTGAGTGTGTGAGTGTTTGGGTGAGTAAGTGGTGAGTGTGTGAGTGAGGGGTGAGTGTGAGTTAGGGGGTGAGTGAGGGGGTGAGTGTGTGAGTGCATCAGCCAGTCATCTCGGTCATCTTAGTCAGTCGACCCGTGGCACCTGGGTCTGCCCCGTGACCTCCTGCCAGCGGGCGTTCGACACGTCACGTGGCCTCAAGGTGCACTTGGCCTGGCACAAGCGTCGTGGTGACGTCACTGCCACTTAGTGGCGAATGGCGGTTGTTGTGTGAGTGAGTGTGTGAGTGAGTGAGTGGGTGAGTGAGTGGGTGAGGGGTGAGTGTATGAGTGAGGGGGTGAGTGGGTGAGTGGGTGAATGTGTGAGGAGGTGAGGGGGTGAGTGGGTAAATGTGTGAGGAGGTGAGTGGGTGAGTTTTTGAGGGGGTGAGTGGGTGAGTGTGTGTGTGAGGGGTAAGTGAGGAGGTGAGTGGGGGAGTGAGGGGGTGAGTGTGTGAGTGAGGGGGTGAGGGGTGAGTGGGTGAGTGAGGGGTGAGTGAGGGGGTGAGTGAGGGGTGAGTGAGGGGTGAGTGAGGGGTCAGTGAGAGGTGAGTGAGGGGTGAGTGAGGGGGTGAGTGTGTGAGTGAGGGGGTGAGGGGTGAGTGGGTGAGTGAGGGGTGAGTGAGTGAGTGAAGGTTGTGAGTAAAAGTATGAGTCAGGAAGTGAGTAAGGGTCTTTGTGGGGTGTTTGTGAGTGAAGGAGTGAGGGGTGGTGATGTGGTTGTGAGTGAGGAGGTGAGTGAGGAGGTGATTTGGTGTGAGTGACGGTGTGAATATGATAAACGTGTGGTGAGCATGATGTCTGGTGAGTGTGTGGTATGGTGAGTGTTTTATGTAAGTTGAGGTTTGTTGATGGTGAGTGTGGTAGTGATCATGGTGAGTGTGTGTAAGTTGAGGTTTGTTGGTGGTAAGTGTGGCAGTGATCATGGTGAGTGTATGTAAGTTGAGGTTTGTTGATGGTGAGTGGTAGTGATCATGGTGAGTGTGGTAAGTTGAGGTTTGTGGTGGGTGTGAGTGTGGTAGTGATCATGGTGAGTGTGTGTAAGTTGAGGTTTGTTGTGGTGAGTGTGTGGTGAGTCATGGTGAGTGTTGTAAGTTGATGTTTGTGTGGGAGTGTGGTAGTGATCATGGTGAGTGTGGGTAAGTTGAGGTTTGTTGTGGTGAGTGTGATGGTGAGTATGGTGAGTGTGTGTAAGTTGAGGTTGTTGGTGGTGAGTGTGGTAGTGATCATGGTGAGTGTGTGTAAGTTGAGGTTTGTTGATGGTGAGTGTGGTAGTGATCATGGTGAGTGTGTGTAAGTTGAGGTTTGTTAATGGTGAGTGTGATGGTGAGTATGGTGAGTGTGTGTAAGTTGAGGTTTGTTGATGGTGAGTGTGGTAGTGATCATGGTGAGTGTGTGTAAGTTGATGCTTGTTGGTGGTGAGTGTGGTAGTGATCATGGTGAGTGTGTGTAAGTTGAGGTTTGTTGATGGTGAGTGTGGTAGTGATCATGGTGAGTGTGTGTAAGTTGAGGTTTGTTGGTGGTGAGTGTGGTAGTGATCATGGTGAGTGTGTGTAAGTTGAGGTTTGTTGATGGTGAGTGTGATGGTGAGTATGGTGAGTGTGTGTAAGTTGAGGTTTGTTGGTGGTGAGTGTGGTAGTGATCATGGTGAGTGTGTGTAAGTTGAGGTTTGTTGATGGTGAGTGTGGTAGTGATCATGGTGAGTGTGTGTAAGTTGAGGTTTGTTGGTGGTGAGTGTGGTAGTGATCATGGTGAGTGTGTGTAAGTTGAGGTTTGTTGATGGTGAGTGTGGTAGTGATCATGGTGAGTGTGTGTAAGTTGAGGTTTGTTGGTGGTGAGTGTGGTAGTGATCATGGTGAGTGTTTGTAAGTTGAGCTTTGTTGGTGGTGAGTGTGGTAGTGATCATGGTGAGTGTGTGTAAGTTGAGGTTTGTTAATGGTGAGTGTGATGGTGAGTATGGTGAGTGTGTGTAAGTTGAGATTTGTTGATGGTGAGTGTGGTAGTGATCATGGTGAGTGTGTGTAAGTTGATGCTTGTTGGTGGTGAGTGTGGTAGTGATCATGGTGAGTGTGTGTAAGTTGAGGTTTGTTGATGGTGAGTGTGGTAGTGATCATGGTGAGTGTGTGTAAGTTGAGGTTTGTTGCTGGTGAGTGTGGTAGTGATCATGGTGAGTGTGTGTAAGTTGAGGTTTGTTGATGGTGAGTGTGATGGTGAGTATGGTGAGTGTGTGTAAGTTGAGGTTTGTTGGTGGTAAGTGTGGTAGTGATCATGGTGAGTGTGTGTAAGTTGAGGTTTGTTGATGGTGAGTGTGGTAGTGATCATGGTGAGTGTGTGTAAGTTGAGGTTTGTTGGTGGTGAGTGTGGTAGTGATCATGGTGAGTGTGTGTAAGTTGAGGTTTGTTGATGGTGAGTGTGGTAGTGATCATGGTGAGTGTGTGTAAGTTGAGGTTTGTTAATGGTGAGTGTGATGGTGAGTATGGTGAGTGTGTGTAAGTTGAGGTTTGTTGATGGTGAGTGTGGTAGTGATCATGGTGAGTGTGTGTAAGTTGATGCTTGTTGGTGGTGAGTGTGGTAGTGATCATGGTGAGTGTGTGTAAGTTGAGGTTTGTTGATGGTGAGTGTGGTAGTGATCATGGTGAGTGTGTGTAAGTTGAGGTTTGTTGGTGGTGAGTGTGGTAGTGATCATGGTGAGTGTTTGTAAGTTGAGGTTTGTTGGTGGTGAGTGTGGTAGTGATCATGGTGAGTGTGTGTAAGTTGAGGTTTGTTGATGGTGATTGTGATGGTGAGTATGGTGAGTGTGTGTAAGTTGAGGTTTGTTGCTGGTGAGTGTGGTAGTGATCATGGTGAGTGTGTGTAAGTTGAGGTTTGTTGGTGGTGAGTGTGGTGGTGAGTATGGTGAGTGTGTGTAAGTTGAGGTTTGTTGGTGGTGAGTGTGGTAGTGATCATGGTGAGTGTGTGTAAGTTGAGGTTTGTTGCTGGTGAGTGTGGTAGTGATCATGGGGAGTATGGTGTGTGTAAGTTGAGGTTTGTTGGTGGTGAGTGTTGGTGGTGAGTGTGGTGGTGAGTATGGTGAGTGTTGATGGTGAGTGTTGGTGGTGAGTATGGTGTGTGTAAGTCGAGCTTTGTTGCTGGTGAGTGTTGCTGGTGAGTGTGTTTGTGTAGTCAGGCCGTTCCCCAATTAGCTTGGCCTTCTGACCCTTCCCATAAATCTCACATCCCTTGTGTGTGTGTGTGTGCGGAGTCTGTGCAGCGATGGAAGAGTAACACGGAGGCGACTGAGCGTGCTGATCACGAGCAGCGTGTTTGCTGGGGAGGGAAACACAGCGAGATGTTTGCCCGCATCCCATCAGATTGTTGTATTTTTCCTGCGTAAATTATCACCTGGTAGTCCTCAACACGGCAGGAGGAGGAATCTACGAGTGGAGTTCACGGCAATGGTGACCGTGATGCTCGTAGCGAGAGAAGAGTGACTGGCTGCCAGATCAAAAGTTTATCGGGTGCAGCAGTGGATATAGTTCTGCTGTGTGCAGCAGTGATAGTGCTGCTGTGTGCAGCAGTGATAGTGTTGCTGTGTGCAGCAGTGATAGTGCTGCTGTGTGCAGCAGTGATAGTGTTGCTGGTGCAGCAGTGATAGTGTTGCTGGTGCAGCAGGGGTGATGGAGGGGGAGGAGTGTTACACCGGGGAGGATCATGAAGGATGTGAATCTCGTGTCCAGGCAGGTCTCGCTTTGTGCAGCGCGGTAGAACGCCGATTCGTTCCAGCGCTCTTCGACCTGGAGAACATTTTCCCCAACAAGTTGAAGACTTTAAACAATCTACTAAGCGCTTAGGGGCCGTCCATAAATGACGTCACGCACCAAGAGGTGGAGGGGCGGGTGGGGTCAGACATTTGTGACGATGTGTGACGAGAGGCGGGGGGTTGAGAAACGTGACGTCACATCAAAATGCGAAACTTTAAATAAATATAGACAACACGTTCTACTTAATTAAATAGACTTTTTCATAAATGTTTTCTCCTACAACATCAGAGTGCAGCGGCACATTAAATACGCACTACAATGACAATAGTTTAAAGCGATTTTAAGCATGTTTTATTTTGGGGGGGGGGGGGCAGAGCTTTGTGACGTCATATTTGAGGGGGGGGGTCTGACTTTTGTGACGTCGTGTGACGAAGGCGGGGGGGGGGGTCAAAAATCGTCCAAAATCGCGTGACGTCATTTATGGACGTCCCCTTACGAGTAAGACACATGCAGCAGCGGTGGTCGACTAAACGTAACCACGCCCATCATTCGCTCAGCCAATGAGAGCGGCCTACGCTCTTTAGCCAATCAGATTTCACCCCCACCCGCGCGATTCGATGATCAGGATTCGTCGTCACGATTACATTAATTTTTTAGTTTAAATCTCCTTTTAACATTTTCAATGCCAAGGCGACAACAACTCACGAGACCAGAAAAGAGTCTCAGGCCCCACCTACAATAAACCTCACTACAGAAATGTTGACCGAGGGCGTCACTAAGGCCATCACGTGGGTTCCTGGGGAGCTCTTCTCTGAGAGTGACGTGGACTGGGAAGGGGCATCAACTCCTCCGACCTCGTCCCCCCACCGCGGGCCTTGTAGGGCGAGTACGGTAGAAGGCACTTGTGACTGCAGTCCATAATATTCTAGATTTGAAGCTTTCGTGACTGCAAGGATTCATATTTTTAGGTTTTTTCGGTAAAGTCACGTAGGTAAAAACAATTTATTAAAATTAATGAAAGTTAAATTAAAATAAAATTAAAATCACGACGTTTTGGAGGCAACACAAGCCTCCGTCTTCAGGTGGAACCGTCACAGCACGACTGCTGCATCAAGTGAGAGAAATTCCAAGAACACAGTCCTTGTATATATACTGGTTGAGGGTGGGAGGAGCCATTGTGAGGTTCGGTGCGGCTGAAACACACTGCTAGGAATGAGCCTTATTTTACTTCTATTAATTTTCATTTTATTTTTTTTACCTACGTGACTTTACCGAAAAAAACCTATGAATATCAGTGCATAATACTTGCTGATGTTATATCAAAGAATACATTGTATTCACTTCATCATGTTTACTATCTGTCTCGTTATTATTAGCGCGCTGACCGATACCCCATAATTAAGCCCACAAAAATTGCTCTTGCGTCAAAAATAACGCCGTCGCGCGCACATCCCCCATACATGCAATGATATAATGGCCCCTTTTAGCGCTGATTGTATTAGCGTTCACTTGTCCAGGAACGCATGTTGGGCACGAAGCCAGGTCTGCCTGCATTCTTTGTACTGTTTGTGTGTGTGTACTATGTGGGTGGGCTGTGTCCCATTGCCCCCATGTCTCCATGTCTCCATGTCCCCGCATCCCTGTGGCTCATATGCCCATGTCCCTGTGTCCCCATTACCCAATGTCACCGCATCCCCACATACAATATCCTTGTGCTTTCGTATCTCCTTGTTCCTACATCTTAGGATGGATCCACTGCCCCTGAGGGAGACGCCCACTCTCTCCACGCTCTTCCAGGAGACGCTCCCCCCTCCTCCCGGTTACCACGGCGACGACCTGGTCCCCCCGCCTCCCGGTTACTGTGGCAATGATCCTGCCCCGCCTCCTCCCGATTACCACGGCGATGACACAAACTTGCCGCCTCCTCCCAGCTACCAGGGGGAGCCCCTGCCCCCGCCTCCCGGCTACCACGGCGACGAGCTGCCCCCCCCGCCTCCCGGTTACCAAGGAGACAACTCAGCCCTGCCTCTCCAGGATCACCACGGCGATGTCGCCTTCCCCCCACCTCCCGAATACGTCGTCGATGAAGGCATCGTCGTCGACACACATCCGCCGGGGTATCCTGACGGACCCCTCTCCGAGGGTCACGGGGTTCCTGGGGTTTCCTTTCAGGACCCGCTGAGCTCCTTCCTCAGCGGCGAGCAGCTGGAGCGGAGCGTGTGCCTCGCGCGCCGCGCAATCACCAGCACATCGGGCGGGGCGACCGCGGCGGCAAGCCCGCCCATCGGCGGATTTGCTGCATCACCCGGACGAGCCCCCAGTTTTGTCGGGGAGCTCTGGGGAGACGGTTCGGACGCCGAGGGGTGCGATTCGGGGACCGGGTTCCGGAGCGAGGAGCCCCCAACGCCTCCAGAGAGCTGGGACACGAGGTCGGACACGGCATCACTCTCGTCGTTTGTGGAGAGCCTTGTGCTGGAGAAGCCCTTCTCGACGGCCGGGGCTGGAACCGGCGCCGCCACCGGGGGGCTGCATGACGGAGCCGGGGAGGCGTCCAGGCGAGCGCCGGGCCATGGTAACAATGGCCACGGAAACAATGGCCACTAAAACAATAGGTCACAGTAAGAATGGCCACGGAAACAATGACTATAGTAACAATGGCCATGGTAACAATGGCCTGGGTAACAATGGCCATGGTAACAATGGAAACCTAACAATGACCATGCTAACAATGGGCAAGGTAACAATGACCATGGAAACAATGGGCATGGAAACAATAGCCACGGTAATAATGACCCAGGTAATAATGGCCACCGTAACAATGGCCAAGGTAACAATACCCGCGATAACAATGAGCAAGGTAACAATGACCACGGAAACAATGGCCACGGTTACAATGGACAAGATAACGATGCCACGGAAACAATGATTCGGGTAACAATGGGCAGTGTAACAATGGATACGTAACATGTCCACGATAACAATGGCCACGATAACAATGGCCACGATAACAATGGCCACGGTAACAATGACCACAGAAACAATAGAGGTATTACGTGTACAGGTTGGAGTGGGATATGATAAGCAACTAGGAGGTTGTAACTAGGAGGAGGAGGTAGCGATAAGTGGGACTCGAGAGCAAAGTGGGGGAGGAGAGCCGTTCACTGTGAGTGAGTGAGCAAGTGGTTAGGTGGCTAAGTAGCCTGGTGAATATCTATAGACTATCTGTTTCAGAGACAATGCATATATGATCAGAGCATGTTTGTTTGCACGTTCACCACAAGTCAGTGCAGTTATGCAGACTTGATTCCTTGTAAAAAGGTCTCTAGTGTTTGAACATCTTAACATCTAAATTTTGATTTTGAGCTTTCGTGACTGTAGGGATTCATAGTCTTGGTTCTTTCGGTAAAGTCACGTAGAAGGGAAATAATAAAATAATATTAATATAAAACAATGTTTAATTGCCAAAAAGGGCAACACCTATTCTTGATTTTCATAATTTGATACTGTCAAAAAGGTCCCATGATATCTGTAGACTAACATAGAGGCCCATAGACTCAGGTAGAGGCCCATAGACTCAGGTAGAGGCCCATAGACTCAGGTAGAGGTATTTAAGCGGGTGAGAGTGGCGAGCGCGGTAAGAGTGGTTAGGGTGGTGAGGATGCTAATGATTGTATCGCCATGCCGCCCCCCCTTCCCCCAGCCCCCTCTTTCACACAGAGGCTACGCAGCTGTCGAGTAAGCGAGGGGTCACAGGTCGTCATGGAGTGTCACGTGACTGGTGACCCCACACCAACAGTCAGGTGACACAACACTCACCGCCCACTCAGCACCACTCAGACACACACTTGGCCACTTGCTCCCAAAACGAGTATCCACATGTGAGAGAGCGCGTGTGTGGGGAGCAGTATAAGCCTCAACAGACTGCAGGGGGCATGTGGTGTGAGCGAGACGCACCTATGAAGTCGGACACGGGTGGGTGGTCAGCACCATGTCCGGCCGCCTTTCTCATCCAAGTTGTGAAGTTGACACGCCACACACCGGGTACTGATTTTGAGTCGACCTCGAGGTGGAGGACGAGTTTTCAGATAATTGTCACTGGCGTTAGTAGCCGTGAGCGCGAATCGAACTCAGGTCACCAGGTCAGTAGCGCAGCGTGCTAACTTCGACGCCACCGCTCCCCATACAAAGACCCACAGACACACTTCCACACAACGACACGCTCATACACAGAGACACTGTCACACACACAGACACACCCCCACACAACGACACGCTCATACACAGAGACACTGTCACACACACAGACACACCCCCAGACAACGACACGCTCATACACAGAGACACTGTCACACACACAGACAGGCTCCCACACAACGACACGCGCATACACAGAGACACTGTCACACACAGACACACCCCCACACAACGACACACCCCTACACAACGACACGCTCCCACACAGAGACACTGTCACACACACAGACACGCTCCTACACAACGACACGCTCATACACAGAGACACTGTCACACACACAGACACGCTCCCACACAACGACACGCTCATACAGAGAGACAAATAGACAAAGATCCCCCGTATAGCCTTAACAGACTGTTGGGGCAAGTGCATTTAGCGAGCGCCTACGAAGGCCGACAGCGCACGAGAAGATGGATGGCCAAGCACCACGCCCGGCCGCCTTTGTCTCCCCAGGGGCGGAGTTTACACACCGCACCAGGTACTCATTTGAGGCTGAGTCGAGCTAGGGGAGGCCCAGGACCGGTTCAAATAATCGTCACTGGTGTTTTCCGTGAGCGGGAATCGAACCCGTGTCGCCAGGTTCGCAGTGCAGCGCGCAAACCGCTACACTACCGCTCCCAACGCAGACACACACACAGACACACACACACAGACACACACACAGACACACACACACAGACACACACACACAGACACACACACACACACAGACACACACACACACAGACACACACACACACACAGACACACACACAGATAGACACACACACACATACACACAGACACACACACAGATAGACACACACACAGAGATAGACACACACACACACATACACACAGACACACACACACAGACACACACACACAGACACACACACACAGACACACACACACAGACACACACACACAGACACACAGACACACAGACACACACACAGACACACACACACACAGACACACACACAGATAGACACACACACAGATAGACACACACACAGACACACACACAGACACACACACACAGACACACACACACAGACACACACACACACACATACACACAGACACACAGACACACACACACAGACACACACACACACAGACACACACACAGATAGACACACACACAGATAGACACACACACAAAGATAGACACACACAGACCCACACACACACAGACACACACACACAGACACACACACACAGACACACACACACACAGACACACACAGACACACACACACACAGACACACACACACAGACACACACAGACACACACACAGACACACAGACCCCCCCCCCCCCAGGGTTCGTCTATTTTTGAGTTGCTCTGGGCTGCACCTGTCCCTCCCCCACCTCCATCCCCCAACCCCGCCCCTCCATCCCCCAACCCCGCCCCTCCACCAACCCACCCTCCAAACAGCCACATGGAAACCCACACTCACTCACCAACTCATCCTCACACTCACCCACTCACACTCCTCACTCACACTCCTCCTCACACTCACCCACCCACACTCACACTCCTCATCCCCACACTCACTCCCACTCACCCACTCACACTCACCCACTCACCCACTCACACTCACCCACTCACCCACTCACACTCACTCCTCATCCCCACACTCACTCCCACTCACACACTCATCCACTCACCCACTCACCCACTCACACTCACTCCTCATCCCCACACTCACTCCCACTCACACTCACCCACTCACCCACACACACTCACTCTTCATCCCCACACTCACTCCCACTCACCCACTCACACTCACCCACCCACTCACACTCACTCCTCATCCCCACACTCACTCACACTCCTCACACTCCTTATACTCTCACTCACCCACTCACACTCACTCACACTCCTCCTCATCCTCACACTCACTCCCACTCATCCACTCACCCACTCACCCACTCACACTCACTCCTCATCCCCATACTCACTCCCACTCACCCACTCACACTCACTCCTCATCCTCACACTCACTCCCACTCACCCACTCACCCACTCACCCACTCACACTCCTCCTCACACTCACACTCACCCACTCACACTCACTAACTCACACTCACCCACTCACACTCACTAACTCACACTCACCCACTCACACTCACTAACTCACACTCACCCACTCACACTCACTAACTCACACTCACCCACTCACACTCACTAACTCACACCCACTCACACTCCTCATCCTCACACTCTCTCACACTCCTCACACTCACTGGCAACAAAACTGACACCTTTTGCAAGGAATCATGTTTCTGTCTCTGGTGTGGACCAATCAGTTTCAAGGACAATGCATAAAATATCAGAGTATTGTTTTTTGTTTGCATTTGACTGCAAGTATTGTGGTTAATGTAAACATGATTCCTTGCAAAAGGTGTCAGTTTTATTGCCAGAAAAAGGGGAAAACCCCTATTAGATTTGTAGGGAATTTGTCAGCAGTGGGGGATATGGTGAGGCCGATGCCAGTTCCACTGGGTGTGGGGGTTTAGCTCGGGGAGGAAACGAGAGAACGCGGAGAAAACCTACACAGAATTCGGGGAGAATATTTCGATTTAAAGCTTTCGTGACTGCAGGGATTCATATTCTTGGTTCTTTCGGTAACGTCACGTAGAAGGGAAATAATACAATAATAAAAATATCATCATCAGGTGTGATGATTGCTTGTGTTGCAATCGAAACGTCGTGAGAATGTTATTGTTTTATATTTTAATTATTTTATTATTTCCCTTCTACGTGACTTTACCAAAAGAACAAAGAACAGGGGGAGAAAACATAAACTCCAAAGATCCCGCGTGTAGCCTTATCATCGATGAGGAGCTGTGTGGACAGCATCACGCCCAGCCACCTTTGTCTCTCCAGTAGTCGTTTGAGGCTGAGTCGACCTAGGGGAGGCCCAAGACCGGTTCAAATAATCGTCACTGGTGTTGGTCGTGAGAGGGAATAGAACTCGGGTGGCCGGGTTCACAGCGCGACTCTCACTCTGCAGAGCAGAGGGGGGCGGCGGGGGGGTGGGAGAGAGAACGCGCCAAATCCACACAGAGAGAGGAGACACACGGATTGGGAATCGAACCCGGGGTGCCACGGCAGAGGTCGCAAACGCGTTTTGATTCCTTACTCGTACCCGTACCCGGCCGCACCAGGGTCGCAAATGGGTACCCGTACCCGGCCGGGTACGGGTAGCCGTTTCCTACCCGTACCCTACCCGAAATGAGTGACAAACGGTTACTCACCAGTGACTCACGGCCTACCCGTACCCGTACCCGGCCGCACCAGGGTCGCAAACGGGTACCCATACCCGTACCTGGCCGGGTACCCATACCCGTACCTGGCCGGGTACGGGTAGCCGGGTATTGGGTAGGGTACGGGTATCGGGTACCCGGTTGCGACCTCTGTGCCACGGTGGCGAGACGTAAACGACTTCGCCTGGTGTACAGGGGTTCGCGGGTCCGATCACAACCACGGCGCCGACTGTAAATCTGCAGTTTGCATGTACACTCTGTCCGTGGTGGTCGCGTGGATTTTTCTCCGCGTATGTCCCTCCACATTTAGAAGAATGAACATCACGCGTTCAGAGTGTTTGGGCTGCTACACATTTACATGCGGTGGCCAGGGGATCCCGTCTGAAAAACGAGCGATGTCGCTCAGTGGAGCCTTACGGGGTAAAATAAAATTTTAAAAAATGTAACCCGTAAAAACAAAGTTTTTCACTATAAATCCTTTATATGCGTGGCGGCTAGAGTCCTCTCGTCCTCTGGCTTGAGATGGCTGCCACCTATGGGTCAGATGATTGGCTGCCACCATTAAGCAATTGATAATTAAATATATTTTAAAAAATTCCTAAAAAGTGTAAAATTTTGGAAAATAATTTTCACGAAAATACATTGTCACACACAACGAGTCTGTGTGAAAAATGTCAGCTCGATTGGATCACGGGAAGTGGGTTAAAAAACGACCGAAAGATTTGCACGGTCGTAAGCGCGCAAGCAAGCAAGTGAACTTAATATAAAGCATTTAAAAATCGGCAAATTTGGAGTTTTTGGAGGTTGACCGCTGCTTAGCCTTTGTGTTGCACGCCCCTCCACCGCCCCCAAACGTCACCGCCCCGACGTCAACTCCACGTCGCCTCCACGCCTGTTGCAGCTGGACCTGCGAGGACTCGTGCGTCCTGCCGCCCGGGGTCGTGACCTCGGTGCGGGGGGCCGTGACCTCTGCGGACGGGGCCGTGACCTCTGTGGGTCACGTGCTGGAGGTGGCGGCGGCGCGAGCGGCGCTGCATTCGGCGCGATACTCGTGCGTCGCCCGGAACCGGCACGGAAGCGCCACCACCTCGGCCGTGCTCACCCTCACCGCCGGTGCTCACCCACACTCACCCACACTCACCCACACTCACCCTCACCGCCGGTGCTCACCCTCACTCACCCACACTCACCCACACTCACCCACACTCACCCTCGCTCACACACACTCACCCACACTCACCCTCACTCACACACAGTCACCCACACTCACCCTCACCGCCGGTGCTCACCCACACTCACCCACACTCACCCACACTCACCCTCGCTCACACACACACCCACACTCACCCTCACCGCCGGTGCTCACCCACACTCACCTACACTCACTCACACTCACCCTCGCTCACACACACTCACCCACACTCACCCTCACCGCCGGTGCTCACCCTCACTCACCCACACTCACTCTCACCGCCGGTGCTCACCCTCACTCACCCTCACTCACCCTTACTCACCCTCGCTCACACACACTCACCCTCACTGCCGGTGCTCACCCACACTCACCCACACTCACCCACACTCACCCTTGCTCACACACATTCACCCACACTCACCGCCGGTGCTCACCCACACTCACCCACACTCACCCACACTCACCCTCGCTCACACACACACCCACACTCACCCTCACCGCCGGTGCTCACCCACACTCACCTACACTCACCCACACTCACCCTCGCTCACACACACTCACCCACACTCACCCTCACCGCCGGTGCTCACCCTCACTCACCCACACTCACTCTCACCGCCGGTGCTCACCCTCACTCACCCTCACTCACCCTCACTCACCCTCGCTCACACACACTCACCCTCACTGCCGGTGCTCACCCACACTCACCCACACTCACCCACACTCACCCTCGCTCACACACACTCACCCTCACTGCCGGTGCTCACCCACACTCACCCACACTCACCCACACTCACCCTTGCTCACACACATTCACCCACACTCACCGCCGGTGCTCACCCACACTCACCCACACTCACCCACACTCACCCTCGCTCACACACACACCCACACTCACCCTCACCGCCGGTGCTCACCCACACTCACCTACACTCACCCACACTCACCCTCGCTCACACACACTCACCCACACTCACCCTCACCGCCGGTGCTCACCCTCACTCACCCACACTCACTCTCACCGCCGGTGCTCACCCTCACTCACCCTCACTCACCCTCACTCACCCTCGCTCACACACACTCACCCTCACTGCCGGTGCTCACCCACACTCACCCACACTCACCCACACTCACCCTCGCTCACACACACTCACCCACACTCACCCTCACCGCGGGTGCTCACCCACACTCACCCACCCTCACCCACACTCACCCTCGCTCACACACACACCCACACTCACCCTCACCGCCGGTGCTCCCCCACACTCACCTACACTCACCCACACTCACCCTCGCTCACACACACTCACCCACACTCACTCTCACCGCCGGTGCTCACCCTCACTCACCCACACTCACTCTCACCGCCGGTGCTCACCCTCACTCACCCTCACTCACCCTCACTCACCCTCGCTCACACACACTCACCCTCACTGCCGGTGCTCACCCACACTCACCCACACTCACCCTCGCTCACACACACTCACCCACACTCACCCTCACCGCCGGTGCTCACCCACACTCACCCACACTCACCCACACTCACCCTCGCTCACACACACTCACCCACACTCACCCTCACCGCCGGTGCTCACCCTCACTCACCCACACTCACTCTCACCGCCGGTGCTCACCCTCACTCACCCTCACTCACCCTCACTCACCATCGCTCACACACACTCACCCTCACTGCCGGTGCTCACCCACACTCACCCACACTCACCCACACTCACCCTTGCTCACACACATTCACCCACACTCACCGCCGGTGCTCACCCACACTCACCCACACTCACCCACACTCACCCTCGCTCACACACACACCCACACTCACCCTCACCGCCGGTGCTCACCCACACTCACCTACACTCACCCACACTCACCCTCGCTCACACACACTCACCCACACTCACCCTCACCGCCGGTGCTCACCCTCACTCACCCACACTCACTCTCACCGCCGGTGCTCACCCTCACTCACCCTCACTCACCCTCACTCACCCTCGCTCACACACACTCACCCTCACTGCCGGTGCTCACCCACACTCACCCACACTCACCCACACTCACCCTCGCTCACACACACTCACCCACACTCACCCTCACCGCCGGTGCTCACCCACACTCACCCACCCTCACCCACACTCACCCTCGCTCACACACACACCCACACTCACCCTCACCGCCGGTGCTCACCCACACTCACCTACACTCACCCACACTCACCCTCGCTCACACACACTCACCCACACTCACCCTCACCGCCGGTGCTCACCCTCACTCACCCACACTCACTCTCACCGCCGGTGCTCACCCTCACTCACCCTCACTCACCCTCACTCACCCTCGCTCACACACACTCACCCTCACTGCCGGTGCTCACCCACACTCACCCACACTCACCCTCGCTCACACACACTCACCCACACTCACCCTCACCGCCGGTGCTCACCCACACTCACCCACACTCACCCACACTCACCCTCGCTCACACACACTCACCCACACTCACCCTCACCGCCGGTGCTCACCCACACTCACCCACACTCACCCACACTCACCCTCGCTCACACACACTCACCCACACTCACCCTCACCGCCGGTGCTCACCCTCACTCACCCACACTCACTCTCACCGCCGGTGCTCACCCTCACTCACCCTCACTCACCCTCACTCACCCTCGCTCACACACACTCACCCTCACTGCCGGTGCTCACCCACACTCACCCACACTCACCCACACTCACCCTCGCTCACACACACTCACCCACACTCACCCTCACCGCCGGTGCTCACCCACACTCACCCACCCTCACCCACACTCACCCTCGCTCACACACACACCCACACTCACCCTCACCGCCGGTGCTCCCCCACACTCACCTACACTCACCCACACTCACCCTCGCTCACACACACTCACCCACACTCACTCTCACCGCCGGTGCTCACCCTCACTCACCCACACTCACTCTCACCGCCGGTGCTCACCCTCACTCACCCTCACTCACCCTCACTCACCCTCGCTCACACACACTCACCCTCACTGCCGGTGCTCACCCACACTCACCCACACTCACCCTCGCTCACACACACTCACCCACACTCACCCTCACCGCCGGTGCTCACCCACACTCACCCACACTCACCCACACTCACCCTCGCTCACACACACTCACCCACACTCACCCTCACCGCCGGTGCTCACCCTCACTCACCCACACTCACTCTCACCGCCGGTGCTCACCCTCACTCACCCTCACTCACCCTCACTCACCATCGCTCACACACACTCACCCTCACTGCCGGTGCTCACCCACACTCACCCACACTCACCCACACTCACCCTTGCTCACACACATTCACCCACACTCACCGCCGGTGCTCACCCACACTCACCCACACTCACCCACACTCACCCTCGCTCACACACACACCCACACTCACCCTCACCGCCGGTGCTCACCCACACTCACCTACACTCACCCACACTCACCCTCGCTCACACACACTCACCCACACTCACCCTCACCGCCGGTGCTCACCCTCAATCACCCACACTCACTCTCACCGCTGGTGCTCACCCTCACTCACCCTCACTCACCCTCACTCACCCTCGCTCACACACACTCACCCTCACTGCCGGTGCTCACCCACACTCACCCACACTCACCCACACTCACCCTCGCTCACACACACTCACCCACACTCACCCTCACCGCCGGTGCTCACCCACACTCACCCACCCTCACCCACACTCACCCTCGCTCACACACACACCCACACTCACCCTCACCGCCGGTGCTCACCCACACTCACCTACACTCACCCACACTCACCCTCGCTCACACACACTCACCCACACTCACCCTCACCGCCGGTGCTCACCCTCACTCACCCACACTCACTCTCACCGCCGGTGCTCACCCTCACTCACCCTCACTCACCCTCACTCACCCTCGCTCACACACACTCACCCTCACTGCCGGTGCTCACCCACACTCACCCACACTCACCCTCGCTCACACACACTCACCCACACTCACCCTCACCGCCGGTGCTCACCCACACTCACCCACACTCACCCACACTCACCCTCGCTCACACACACTCACCCACACTCACCCTCACCGCCGGTGCTCACCCACACTCACCCACACTCACCCACACTCACCCTCGCTCACACACACTCACCCACACTCACCCTCACCGCCGGTGCTCACCCTCACTCACCCACACTCACTCTCACCGCCGGTGCTCACCCTCACTCACCCTCACTCACCCTCACTCACCCTCGCTCACACACACTCACCCTCACTGCCGGTGCTCACCCACACTCACCCACACTCACCCACACTCACCCTCGCTCACACACACTCACCCACACTCACCCTCACCGCCGGTGCTCACCCACACTCACCCACCCTCACCCACACTCACCCTCGCTCACACACACACCCACACTCACCCTCACCGCCGGTGCTCCCCCACACTCACCTACACTCACCCACACTCACCCTCGCTCACACACACTCACCCACACTCACTCTCACCGCCGGTGCTCACCCTCACTCACCCACACTCACTCTCACCGCCGGTGCTCACCCTCACTCACCCTCACTCACCCTCACTCACCCTCGCTCACACACACTCACCCTCACTGCCGGTGCTCACCCACACTCACCCACACTCACCCTCGCTCACACACACTCACCCACACTCACCCTCACCGCCGGTGCTCACCCACACTCACCCACACTCACCCACACTCACCCTCGCTCACACACACTCACCCACACTCACCCTCACCGCCGGTGCTCACCCTCACTCACCCACACTCACTCTCACCGCCGGTGCTCACCCTCACTCACCCTCACTCACCCTCACTCACCATCGCTCACACACACTCACCCTCACTGCCGGTGCTCACCCACACTCACCCACACTCACCCACACTCACCCTTGCTCACACACATTCACCCACACTCACCGCCGGTGCTCACCCACACTCACCCACACTCACCCACACTCACCCTCGCTCACACACACACCCACACTCACCCTCACCGCCGGTGCTCACCCACACTCACCTACACTCACCCACACTCACCCTCGCTCACACACACTCACCCACACTCACCCTCACCGCCGGTGCTCACCCTCAATCACCCACACTCACTCTCACCGCTGGTGCTCACCCTCACTCACCCTCACTCACCCTCACTCACCCTCGCTCACACACACTCACCCTCACTGCCGGTGCTCACCCACACTCACCCACACTCACCCACACTCACCCTCGCTCACACACACTCACCCACACTCACCCTCACCGCCGGTGCTCACCCACACTCACCCACCCTCACCCACACTCACCCTCGCTCACACACACACCCACACTCACCCTCACCGCCGGTGCTCACCCACACTCACCTACACTCACCCACACTCACCCTCGCTCACACACACTCACCCACACTCACCCTCACCGCCGGTGCTCACCCTCACTCACCCACACTCACTCTCACCGCCGGTGCTCACCCTCACTCACCCTCACTCACCCTCACTCACCCTCGCTCACACACACTCACCCTCACTGCCGGTGCTCACCCACACTCACCCACACTCACCCTCGCTCACACACACTCACCCACACTCACCCTCACCGCCGGTGCTCACCCACACTCACCCACACTCACCCACACTCACCCTCGCTCAAACACACACCCACACTCACCCTCACCGCCGGTGCTCACCCACACTCACCCTTACCGCCGGTGCTCACCCTCACTCACCCACACTCACTCTCACCGCCGGTGCTCATCCACACTCACCCACACTCACCCTCACCGCCGGTGCTCACACACACTCACCCTCACGGCCGGTGCTCACCCTCACTCACCCACACTCACTCTCACCGCCGGTGCTCACCCACACTCACCCACACTCACCCTCACCGCCGGTGCTCACACACACTCACCCTCACCGCCGGTGCTCACCCTCACTCACCCACACTCACTCTCACCGCCGGTGCTCACCCTCACTCACCCACACTCACTCTCACCGCCGGTGCTCACCCTCACTCACACACACTCACCCTCACCGCCGGTGCTCACCCTCACTCACACACACTCACCCTCACCGCCGGTGCTCACCCTCACTCACCCACACTCACTCTCACCGCCGGTGCTCACCCTCACTCACCCACACTCAGCCTCACTCACCCTCGCTCACACACACTCACCCTCACTCAGCCTCACTCACCCACACTCACCCTCACACACACTCAACCTCACTCACCCTCACCGCCGGTGCTCACCCACACTCACCCACACTCACCCTCACCGCCGTAGCTCACCCTCACTCACCCACACTCACTCTCACCGCCGGTGCTCACCCACACTCACCCACACTCACCTTCACCGCCGGTGCTCACCCACACTCACCCACACTCACCCTCACCGCCGGTACTCACCCACACTCACCCTCACCGCCGGTGCTCACCCTCACTCAACCACACTCACCCTCGCTCACCCACACTCACCCTCGCTCAGACACACTCACTCACACTCAGCCTCACTCACCCACACTCAGCCTCACTCACCCTCGCTCACACACACTCACCCACACTCACCCACACTCACCCTTACCTATCCGCGCTCACCCTCACTCACTCATACTCACCCTCACTCACCCACACTCACCCTCGCTCACACACACTCACCCACACTCACCCACACTCACCCTTACCTACCCGCGCTCACCCTCACTCACCGACACTCACCCTCACTCACTCACCCTCACTCACTCACCCACACTCACCCTCACTCACCCTCACTCACTCACCCTCACTCACCCACCTACTCACACTCACCCTCACTCATGCTCACCGCCGGTGTTCACCCTCACTCACCCACACTCACCCTCACTCACTCACCCGCCTACTTACACTCACTCTCACCTGAGTCGACCTAGGAGATGCCCGGGTTCGTAGCGCAGTGTGCTAACCACTGCGCCACCGCTCCCAAGAAAAGACGAAGACCCCCCCCCCCCCATATAGCCTTAACAGACTGTTGGGGCAAGTGCAGTTAGCGAGCACCTATGAAGGCCGTCACGGCACACGAGGAGGTGGGTGGCCAGCACCACGCCCGGCCGCCTTTGTCTCCCTAGTGGCGATGTTTACACACCGCACGAGGTACTCATTTGAGGCTGAGTCGACCTAGGGGAGGCCCAGGACTGGTTCAGATAATCGTCACTGGTGTCGGTTGTGAGCGGGAATCGAACTCGGGCCGCCGAGTTCGTAGCCCAGCGCACTAACGGCTACATTGCAGTTTTCCGCTCACCCTCACTCACTCACCCGCCTACTCACTCTCAACGGAGGTTGAGTCGACCTAGGGGAGGCCCAGGACCGGTTCGCCGCCACGGGTGTTGCTGGGTTCATAGCACAGTGTGTTAATCGCAGCACCACTGCTCCGCAGTACAGACACAGACTTATATACACACACATTATGGTGGTGGTGGTGATGATGGTGGTGGTGTTGGTGATGGTGGTGTTGGTGATGATGGTGGTGTTGGTGATGGTGGTGTTGGTGATGATGGTGGTGTTGGTGATGGTGGTGTTGGTGATGGTGGTGTTGGTGATGGTGATGATGGTGGTGTTGGTGATGGTGGTGTTGGTGATGATGGTGGTGTTGGTGATGGTGGTGATGGTGATGATGGTGGTGTTGGTGATGGTGATGATGGTAGTGTTGGTGATGGTGGTGTTGGTGATGGTGGTGATTGTGTTCGTGATGGCGGTGGTGTTGACCACCTCCGGTTTGACAGCAGAGGTCTCACTCCAAATCAGTCGGGCGGCATATTTTCATCGGCTGCGTAACGCTGTGTGGAAGCTACCTGGTCTGTCGCTCCACACGAAGCTTCGGGTCTTCTCGGCCACAGTCATTCCCTACCTTCTCTACGCTTGTGAAACGTGGACCCCTCTAATGCAGTGGTTCTTAGCCTTTACTGCAGTCTTTCACCCCTTTGGTTCTCAATCGTAAAAATGTACAATGTTAATAAATTAATACATTGATTTGATGAAACAAAGTGGCTGTACTTCCATGCTCGTGCTTAATTTGTGTTTCGATGATTTACTTTCGAAAATACAACCTGGCTATCCTCAGAAAGGGCATCCCTCACCCCGAAAGGGTCCGTGCCTCCTAGGTAAAGAAGCACTGCTCTAATGAACATCTGTGCCGGTGAGAAACATTCAGACCGGCCTGCCTACGATCCATCCTGGGTTTGATGGATCGTAGGCATGCCAAACCACGGCATGCCCAAACAGCTTCTGTCTGGCCGAATAGAAGGCGCTAAACGGGCACGACAGGGGCTGGAGAAGAGATGGACAAGAGGATGTGGAGCTGAGTGGACTTGCCGATGACTGGTACCAGCGGTGTCAATATCAGCCTCTGTGGAGGAGGCTCGTGAAGGACGCTGCTACTGGGCAGTTGGAGGCAGTCGCCCTCCATCAATAATGGAGGGCAGAGGAGCGACGCTCAAAACAACGAGCGGAGCGCTGGGCGGCTAAAATACAGCAAGTTGGCACAGTAGCTGGTGCATACCGGTCATCTCAGTCTGTCAACCCATGGCACCTGGGTCTGTCCCATGTCCCATGACCTGTCGATGAGCCTTCAACACTTCATGTGGCCTCAAAGTGCACCTGGCCTGGCACACATCCCACGGTGACATCAATGATGATGGTGTTGGTGAAATTATCGTTGTGGTGGTGGTGGTGTTGATGATGTCACAGGTGAAGCTGTTCCTCCCGCTCCTCACCGCAAGAAGAAGGAGCCACCACCAGTTCCACCCAAACCGTGAGTGCAACGCCACCCGCTCACCGCCCGCTCACCGCCCGCTCCCTACTCACCACGTGCACCATACACACACAGCACGTATATACACAACACAGACACACCACTTACCATACACATTTTATTCATGCGCTCACCACTCACTCACCGCTCGAAAACCATACACCAAACACTCCGAAACCACATGCACACTGCTTACACACCACTCACCCCAACGACTCGCCTACTCACCCCACACTCATCCCACTCACCTACGCACTCACCCACTTACTCACCCGCTCAATCATTCACCCAGCTCACTCACTCACGCACTCACTTACCCTTGAAACTACAAATAATTTAAATGTTACCAAGTAAGACCCACTGAGCAATGTAGCTCTTTATCAGAAGCGACCTGGCTATAAATGACAGCTCAACGAAGTGGCTTATCATGTGCAAATTGACAGCAGCCAAATACTCAAAGCGCACGTTTCTAAATGTGGAGGGGAAAACCGGAGGACCCGGAGAAAAAATCCACGCGACCACAGAGAGAGAGAAAGAGACACGCAAACTTGGAATATACAACAGGCGTCAGGATCGGGATCGAACCCACGCCCTCCTGTATACCAGGCGAGGTAGTTAACATCTCCTAGCCACCGTGAGGTAGCTAACATGCGTCAGGATCGGGATCGAACCCGCCCTCCTGTATACCAGGCGTTAGTTAACATCTCCTAGCCACCGTGATATGATGAGAGAGAGAGAGAGAGACAAGCAAACTCCGAATATACAACAGGCGTCAGGATCGGGATCGAACCCACGCCCTCCTGTATACCAGGCGAGGTAGTTAACATCTCCTAGCCACCGTGATGATGATGAGAGAGAGAGAGACACGCAAACTCCGAATATACAACAGGCGTCAGGATCGGGATCGAACCCACGCCCTCCTGTATACCAGGCGAGGTAGTTAACATCTCCTAGCCACCGTGATGATGATGAGAGAGAGAGAGAGACACGCAAACTCCGCATATACAACAGGCGTCAGGATCGGGATCGAACCCACGCCCTCCTGTATACCAGGCGAGGCAATTAACATCCCGTCACCGTGTGCCAGCAGAGGTTTGCCGCTGTGCGTACTTCCGATTGAGAACTCTACGGGATCAGTTTTCAAATTTAGCACGGGGAGAGTGAACACACAGGCTCCAAATATTACAGGCGTCAGGAACTCGCCCATTTACTCACACAGCCTCGTTTGGTTTAACACGTAGACATTCGCGACCAATGTCATCCATAATAAGGGTTTGTTTTTTTTACTCACCCACGCAATCACTCACACTCATTCACTCACCCACCCGCTCACTCACCCTCGTTCACTCACCCACCCGCTCACTCACCCACCCGCTCACCCTCATTCACTCACCCACGCAAACACTCACTCTCATTCACTCACCCACCTGCTCACTCACCCTCATTCACTCACCCACTCGCTCACTCACCCGCTCACTCACCCTCATTCACTCACCCACCCGCTCAATCGCCCTCATTCACTCACCCACCCGCTCACTCACCCTCATTCACTCACCCACCCGCTCACTCACCCTCATTCACTCACCCACCCGCTCACTCACCCTCATTCACTCACCCACCCGCTCAATCGCCCTCATTCACTGACCCACCCGCTCAATCGCCCTCATTCACTCACCCACCCGCTCACTCACCCTCATTCACTCACTCACCCGCTCACTCACCCTCATTCACTCACCCACCCGCTCACTCACTCTCATTCACTCACCCTCATTCACTCACCCACCCGCTCACTCACTCTCATTCACTCACCCACTCGCTCACTCACTCTCATTCACTCACCCTCATTCACTCACCCACCCGCTCACTCACCCTCATTCACTCACCCACCCGCTCAATCGCCCTCATTCACTCACCCACCCGCTCAATCGCCCTCATTCACTCACCCACCCGCTCACTCACCCTCATTCACTCACTCACCCGCTCACTCACCCTCATTCACTCACCCACCCGCTCACTCACTCTCATTCACTCACCCTCATTCACTCACCCACCCGCTCACTCACTCTCATTCACTCACCCACTCGCTCACTCACTCTCATTCACTCACCCTCATTCACTCACCCACCCGCTCACTCACCTCTGTTCCACCTGCACCCCCCCCCCCCTCAGGGTCTCGCGTCATCCAATCACGTCGCGGATCCTGTCGTCGACTCCGCCCCCTCCACCCCCTCCGCCTCCTCCCATCGGTCGGATAAAACCACGCGTGGGGTTCGTATCAGCGATTGTGTGAACCGGTCCTGGGGCTCTCCTAGGTCGACTCAGCCTTGAATGAGTGCCTTGTGTGGTGTTCGCTAAACATCAGTACTGGGGAGACAAAGGCGGCCAGGTGTGGTGCTCGTGACTGTATGCCCTCGTGCGCCGTGCCGGCCTTCACAGGTGCTCACTAACAGCACTTTACCCAACAGTCTGTTACGGCTACATGGGGGATCTTTGTTGTGGGCGAGTGTGTTTGTGAGCATCTGTTGGTGAGTGTGTGAATAGGTGGGTGTGTGTGCAGAAGGTTCCCCATACCTAGGCAGTGAGCTTACGACCGCCTCCGGTTTGGCAGCAGAGGTCTCGCTCCGAATCAGTCGAGCAGCGTTATCTTTTCATCTTCTGCGTAATGCTGCGTGGATGCCAGCTCGTCTGTCACTCCATACAACAAAGCTCCGGGTCTTCTTAGCCACAGTCATGCCCTCCCTTCGTTACGCTTGCGAGACGTGCAGGCCTCGAATTGACCCTCTGCGCCGTTTTGAAGTATTCAGGCTGACCCTGCCTACGATCCATCCTGGGTTGAAACCAGACTGGATTACAGTATGATTGAACTCACAGATGATTGAGAGATCTCGACAGAGTCCCATTGGTGAGCTCCTCCAGTAGGTGAGGCTGCGTTGGCTGGGTCATGTAGCCTGCATGCTCAGCCACCCCATGTCCAAGCAGCTTCTGTTTGGCCGGATAGAGGTGGCTAAACAGACACGGCACAGGCTATAGAAGAGATGGACTGACGCAGTACAGGAGGATGTGGAGCTGAGTGCACTTGCCAAAGACCGGTACCGGGCTCGTGAAGGATGTTCCTGGGCAGTTTGAGGCAGTCGCCCTCCAACATCAGCGGAAGGCGGGGGAGTGACGCTCACAATAACGAGCGTAGCATGGTGCTGGCCTTCATAGGTGCTCGCAATCAGCACTTGCTCCTCAAGTATGTTAAAGCTATAAGGGGGATTTTTGTGTTTGTGTCCATGTGTGTGTGTGTGTGTGCGCACGCCCAGGGTGAGGAAGTCCATGTCGGAGCGTGATATCCGCCAGTCGAAGGACGCGCTCATCCAGGACCTGGAGAAGAGACTGCACATGAGATCCATTCCGCGACAGGCATCCAACCCCACCACCATAACCACAACCACCTCGCCACAACCACCCCACCAGCACCACAACCACCTCCACCGCACCACCCCACCACCACCACGGCCACCATAACCACAACTGCCTCCACCAAGCCTCCACACCAGCACCACCCCACCATCACTACGGCCACCATAACTGCAACCACACCTCCACTTCCTACATCACAACCACGTCCACCGCACGACGACATTAGTACCTCCACCACACCACCACCACAACCACCACCACCACCACACCACCCAACCACAACCACTACAACAACACCTCCACCACCTCCATCACAACCACCTACACCGCACCACGACATTAGCACCTCCACCACACTCACCTCAACCACTACAACCACCAAACCACCATAATCACCACCACCATCACCACCACCACAATCACCACCACCATCATCACCACCAACACCACCACCACCATCATCACCATTACCACCACCACCACCATCACCATCACCACCACCATCATCATCATCACCACCATCATCACCACCATCATCACCACCACCACCATCACCACCACCACCATCACCACCACCATCACCACCACCATCACAGTGGAGTGACTTCAGGTCAGGTCAGTGCGTGATCGGTCACCCCCCCCCACCCCTCCCCCACACAGCCGCGCTTGTCGCACGAGGAGAAGATGGCGCGGCGACTGTTTGGGAACAAATACGAGGTGAGGAGCAGCAGCACACAGCCAGCAGCACACAGCCAGCAGCACACAGCCAAAAGCACACCACAGCAGCACACCACAGCAGCACACCACGCCATGTCCACCACGCAGCATTCAGGCAGCAGCACACCACATCGTGTCCATCACGCAGCAACACACAGCCAACAGCACACCACAGCAGCACACCACAACAGCACACCACAGCAGCACACCACGCCATGTCCACCACGCAGCATTCAGGCAGCAGCACACCACATCGTGTCCACCACGCAGCAGCACACAGCCAACAGCACACCACACCTTAACCACCACACAGCACACAGCAGCACACAGCCAACAACACACCACACCATGTCCACCACACAGCAGCACACACGCAGCAGCACACAGCCAACAGCACACCACACCTTAACCACCACACAGCACACAGCAGCACACAGCCAACAACACACCACACCATGTCCACCACACAGCAGCACACAGCCAACAGCACACCACACTGTGTCCACGCAGCACACAGCCAACAACACACCACACCGTAACCACCACACAGCATACAGCCAGCAGCGTACCACACCGTATCCACCACGCAGCACACAGCAGCACACAGCCAACAACACACCACTCCATGTCCACCACACAGCACACAGCAGCACATAGCCAGCAGCACACCACACTGCGTCCACCATGCATGACCGAGCAGCACACCGCAGCGCACCACACAAACTGTGCACACCACACACACATAACGCCACCACGCCAACACAACAACAACAGCCTCACAACAACAGCTGCACAACCGCCCTCTCTCCCGTGTTTCTGTTCCAGGACTCGGTCACGTCTGACACAGACATCGCCAGCGACCCGGGGGCCAGGTGACCACCACGTGACCCCCACGTGACCCCCGCGTGACCCCCACGTGACCCTCGTGTGACCCCCACGTGACCCCCGCGTGACCCACGCGTAGACCCCCGCACGACTCACGCATGATCCCGATGCGCTGTGCTACGAACCCGGTGACGCAAATTCGCAAGTTCGATTCCCGCGCACAGCCACCAACACCTTGGCGATTATCTGAACCGGTCCTGGGCATCTCCTAAGTCGACTGAGCCTCAAATGAGTACCTGGTGCGATATGTAAACATCTCCACTAGGGAGACAAATGCGGCCAGGCGTGGTCCTGGCCCACCCACCCCCTCGTGTGTGCTCACTAGCACCACTTGCGCCAACAGTCTGTTAAGGCTATAGGGGGGACCTTTGTCTTTGTGTGCAGTGTGCCCGAGTGCCCTCTGACCCGGCAGTACTACCGGCCTCACTTTGTGCAGCCGCTGAGCGACGTCACGGGCAGCGAGGGGGATCTCTGCCGCCTCGACTGCAAGGTACCACCCTCTGCCCCTTTCCACCCCACCCCCGTGTCCATGGCAACTGGGGTGAGGGGGGGGTCACGTGGGTCTCCAGGGCAACGGGAGCAATGACACTGGTCCTCCATGGTGATGTAGTGCTCATCTCCAAGGCAATGGAGGTTCATGCAAGTCTCTGCGGCAACAGTAGACCTGATAATTGTTTTTTTACCCTTCAATCTGGCAACAAAACTGACACCTTTTTTACAAGGAGTCATGTTTGCATAGACCACAATACCTGCAGTCGTAATGCAAACAAAAAGCATAACTCTGATAATGTATGCACTGTCCTTGAAATTGATTGGTCCACACCCTAGACAGCTTTCCTTAGAGCCTAGTCTCACATGGGTTGGACCAGATGACGCCAAAAGGCGCACAACTCATCTGGTCCAACAACATGTGAGACTAGGCTCTAAGGAAAGCCGTCTCGGGTGTGGACCAATCAACTTCAAGGACAGTGCATGCATTATCAGAGTTGTGTGTTTTGTTTGCATTACGACTGCAGGTATTGTGGTCTATGCAAATATGACTCCTTGTAAAGAAGGTGTCAGTTTTGTTGCCAGATAGAAGGGTAAAAAACCAATTATCATTTTTTACTGGCAAATGAGGTTCCAATGGTGTAAACAGTAGACCTGTTTAACACGTCGGCTTTCGCGAACAATGTTTTCCATAGCGGAGGTGTTTTGGGGTTAGATGGCGTAAATTTGAATGCATCGTTAACCCTGACCACCCGACTTAGCCAATTAGTAAGGTTTGTTACGGAAACAAAACATGCTAATTAATTTCTAAATTTCGATTTAAAGCTTTCGTGACTGCAGGGATTCATCTTCTTGGTTCTTTCGGTAAAGTCACGTAGACATTTACAATTTGATCACGACGGCACGTCGGTAATTGCAACCAGCTTCATCAGGCGACAGCCAGAATTGTGGAGAAGTCCTTCTGCTTCAGTCTCACGGCCAACGCCAGTGACGATTATCTGAACCAGACCTGGGCCTCCCTTGGGTCAACTCAGCCTCAAATGAGTACCTGGTGCGGTGTGTAAACATCGCCACGAGGGAGACTAAGGCGGCCGCGCTTGGTGCTGGCCACCCACCCCCTCGTGTGCCATGCCGGCTTTCGTAGGTGCTCCTCGCTAATGGCACTTGCTCCAACAGTCTGGCTAAGGCTATACGGGGGATCTTTGTCTCTCAGTGGGCCTTCTTACCCAGTCAAATAAGAATACTTTATAGTTTCATGTGCAAGTGAGTCAACCCACGCCACCTGGATCTGTCCCAGTGACCTCCAGCCAGAGGTCAGCTTTCCACACTTCACATCAGAGGTCGCAAACGGGTTTTGATTCGTTACCCGTACCCGGCCGCACCAGGGTCGCAAATGGGTACCCGTACCCGTACCCGGCCGGGTACGGGTACCCGTTCCCTACCCGTACCCTACCCGAAATGAGTGACAAACGGTTACTCACCAGTGACTCACGGCCTACCCGTACCCATACCCGGCCGCACCAGAGTCGCAAACGGCTACCCGTACCCGTACCCGGCAGGGTACGGCTAGCCGGGTATCGGGTAGGGTACGGGTATCGGGTACCCGGTTGCGACCTCTGCTTCACACGGTAGCCTCAAAGCATACCTAGCCTGGCGCGAGCGACGCGGCATTACAGTCGCCGTTCGTTGCCGAGCGCGCACTTGCCCCGGCGGCCTGCGCCGGCTACGCGGGGGACCTCCGCCTGCGTCCATGTGCCTGCGACGACGGCGGTGGCGGCGCAGGTTACGGGGCTGCCGGAGCCCGAGGTGGCGTGGAGCGTGGAGGGCCACCCGGTGAGCGGCCGCACCGCGGGCTGCCGTGCGCTGGTGCAGGAGAGCGGCCTGCACTCGCTGCTGCTGCTGCTGCAGCTGCGGCCCGGGGGCGCCGGCGGCACCGGCGGTCGGAGCGAGCCCGGTGGCTTGCTGGTGACGTGCGTGGCACGCAACGCGGCGGGGGAGAGCGGAAGCAGCGCACGCGTCACAATCACACGTACGTGTGTGCGTGCGTGTGAGCGTGTGCGCGTGTGTGTGTGCGTGCGTGTGTGCGTGTGTGCGTGTGTGTGCGTGCGTGTGCGGGTGTGTGTGTGCGTGCGTGTGTGCGTGTGCGTGTGTGCGTGTGTGCGTGTGCGTGTGTGCGTGTGTGTGTGCGTGTGTGTGCGTGTGCGTTTGTGTGCGTGTGTGCGTGCATGTGTGTGTGCGTGTGTATGTGTGTGTGTGTGCGTGCGTGTGGTGAGTGTGGTGAGTGTGGTGTGTATGGTGAGTGTGTGTGAGTGTGTTGTGAGAGTGGGGAGTGTGGGGAGTGTGGTGTCTATGGTGTTTATGGTGAGCGTGGTGAGTGTGGGGGGGTGAGTGTGGTGAGTGTGGGGAGTGTGGGGTGTATGGTGTGTGTGCTGAGTGTGGTGTGTATGGTGAGCGTGGTGAGTATGGTGAGTGTGGTGAGTATGGTGAGTGTGGTGAGTGTGGTGAGTGTGGTGTGTATGGTGAGTGTGGTGAGTATGGTGAGTGTGGTGAGTATGGTGAGTGTGGTGAGTGTGGTGAGTGTGGTGTGTATGGTGAGCGTGGTGAGCATGGTGAGTGTGGTGTGTATGGTGAGTGTGGTGAGTGCGGTGAGTGCGGTGAGTGTGGTGTGTATGGTGAGCGTGGTGAGTATGGTGAGTGTGGTGTATATGGTGAGTGTGGTGAGTGCGGTGAGTGCGGTGAGTGTGGTGTGTATGGTGAGCGTGGGGAGTATGGTGAGTGTGGTGTATATGGTGAGTGTGGTGAGTGCGGTGAGTGCGGTGAGTATGGTGAGTGTGGTGAGTGTGGTGAGTGTGGTGAGTGTGGTGAGTGTGGTGTGTATGGTGAGCGTGGTGAGTGCGGTGAGTGCGGTGAGTGTGGTGTGTATGGTGAGCGTGGTGAGTATGGTGAGTGTGGTGTATATGGTGAGTGTGGTGAGTGCGGTGAGTGCGGTGAGTATGGTGAGTGTGGTGAGTGTGGTGTGTGTGGTGTGTATGGTGATTGTGGGAGTATGGTGAGTGTGGTGTGTATGGTGAGTGTGGTGAGTGCGGTGAGTGCAGTGAGTGCAGTGGGTGTGGTGAGTGTGGTGAGTGTGGTGAGTGTGGTGTGTATGGTGAGCATGATGAGTATGGTGAGCGTGGTGAGCGTGGTGAGCGTGGTGAGTGTGGTGAATGCGGGGAGCGTGGTGAGTTCGGTGAGTGTGGTGAGCGTGGTGTGTATGGTGTGTATGGTGAGCGTGGTGAGTATGGTGAGCGTGGTGAGCGTGATGAGTGTGGTGAATGCGGGGAGTGTGGTGAGTTCGGTGAGTGTGGTGAGCGTGGTGTGTATGGTGTGTATGGTGAGCGTGGTGAGTATGGTGAGCGTGGTGAGCGTGGTGAGTGTGGTGAATGCGGGGAGTGTGGTGAGTTCGGTGAGTGTGGTGAGCGTGGTGTGTATGGTGTGTATGGTGAGCGTGGTGAGTATGGTCAGCGTGGTGAGCGTGGTGAGTGTGGTGAATGCGGGGAGTGTGGTGAGTTCGGTGACTGTGGTGAGCGTGGTGTGTATGGTGTGTATGGTCAGCGTGGTGAGTATGGTGAGCGTGGTGAGCGTGGTGAGTGTGGTGAATGCGGGGAGCGTGGTGAGTTCGGTGAGTGTGGTGAGTGTGGTGAGCGTGGTGTGTATGGTGTGTATGGTGAGCGTGGGGAGTATGGTGAGCGTGGTGAGCGTGGTGAGTGTGGTGAATGCAGGGAGCGTGGTGAGTTCGGTGACTGTGGTGAGCGGGTGAGTGTGGTGAGTGTGGTGAGTGTGGGGAGCGACTAACGCGGTGAGTGTGGTCAGTGTGGTGTATGGTGAGTATGGTGAGTGCGGTGAGTGTGGTGAGCGGGGGGAGTGTGGTGTTTATGGTGAGCGTGGTGAGTGTGGTGAGTGTGGTGAGCGCGGTGAGTGTGGTGAGGTTGGTGAGTGTGGGGAGTGTGGTGAGCGTGGTGAGTATGGTGAGTGTGGTGAGTATGGTGAGTATGGTGAGTGCGGTGAGTGTGGTGAGCGGGGGGAGTGTGGTGTTTATGGTGAGCGTGGTGAGTGTGGTGAGCGCGGTGAGTGTGGTGAGGTTGGTGAGTGTGGGGAGTGTGGTGAGCGTGGTGAGTGTGGGGAGTGTGGTGAGGTTGGTGAGTGTGGTGAGGTTGGTGAGTGTGGTGAGTGTGGTGAGTGTGGGGAGTGTGGTGAGGTTGGTGAGTGTGGTGAGTGTGGGGAGTGTAGTGAGTGTAGTGAGTGTGGTGAGTGTGGTGAGTGTGGTGAGGTTGGTGAGTGTGGTGAGGTTGGTGAGTGTGGTGAGTGTGGGGAGTGTGGTCAGTGTGGTGAGGTTGGTGAGTGTGGTGAGTGTGGGGAGTGTGGTGAGGTTGGTGAGTGTGGTCAGTGTGGTGAGGTTGTTGAGTGTGGTGAGGTTGGTGAGTGTGGTCAGTGTGGTGAGTGTGGTGAGGTTGGTGAGTGTGGTGAGTGTGGGGAGTGTGGTGAGGTTGGTGAGTGTGGTCAGTGTGGTGAGTGTGGTGAGGTTGGTGAGTGTGGTGAGGTTGGTGAGTGTGGTGAGGTTGGTGAGTGTGGTGAGTGTGGTGAGTGTGGGGAGTGTGGTGAGGTTGGTGAGTGTGGTCAGTGTGGTGAGGTTGGTGAGTGTGGTCAATGTGGTGAGGTTGGTGAGTGTGGTGAGTGTGGTGAGGTTGGTGAGTGTGGTGAGGTTGGTGAGTGTGGTCAGTGTGGTGAGTGTGGTGAGGTTGGTGAGTGTGGTGAGTGTGGGGAGTGTGGTGAGGTTGGTGAGTGTGGTGAGGTTGGTGAGTGTGGTGAGTGTGGGGAGTGTGGTGAGGTTGGTGAGTGTGGTGAGGTTGGTGAGTGTGGTGAGGTTGGTGAGTGTGGTGAGGTTGGTGAGTGTGGTGAGTGTGAGGAGTGTGGTGAGGTTGGTGAGTGTGGTGAGGTTGGTGAGTGTGGTGAGTGTGGGGAGTGTGGTGAGGTTGGTGAGTGTGGTGAGGTTGGTGAGTGTGATGAGGTTGGTGAGTGTGGTCAGTGTGGTGAGTGTGGTGAGGTTGGTGAGTGTGGTGAGTGTGGGGAGTGTGGTGAGGTTGGTGAGTGTGGTGAGTGTGGGGAGTGTGGTGAGTGTGGGGAGTGTGGTGAGGTTGGTGAGTGTGGTGAGGTTGGTGAGTGTGGTGAGTGTGGTCAGTGTGGTCAGTGTGGTGAGGTTGGTGAGTGTGGTGAGGTTGGTGAGTGTGGTGAGTGTGGTCAGTGTGGTGAGGTTGGTGAGTGTGGTGAGTGTGGGGAGTGTGGGGAGTGTGGTGAGGTTGGTGAGTGTGGTGAGGTTGGTAAATGTGTGGTGAGTGTGGGGAGTGTGGTGAGGTTGGTGAGTGTGGTGAGGTTGGTGAGTGTGGTGAGGTTGGTGAGTGTGGTGAGGTTGGTGAGTGTGGTGAGTGTGGGGAGTGTGGTGAGGTTGGTGAGTGTGGTGAGGTTGGTGAGTGTGGTGAGTGTGGGGAGTGTGGTGAGGTTGGTGAGTGTGGTGAGGTTGGTGAGTGTGATGAGGTTGGTGAGTGTGGTCAGTGTGGTGAGTGTGGTGAGGTTGGTGAGTGTGGTGAGTGTGGTGAGTGTGGTGAGGTTGGTGAGTGTGGTGAGTGTGGGGAGTGTGGTGAGTGTGGGGAGTGTGGTGAGGTTGGTGAGTGTGGTGAGGTGGTGAGTGTGGTGAGTGTGGTCAGTGTGGTCAGTGTGGTGAGGTTGGTGAGTGTGGTGAGGTTGGTGAGTGTGGTGAGTGTGGTCAGTGTGGTGAGGTTGGTGAGTGTGGTGAGTGTGGGGAGTGTGGGGAGTGTGGTGAGTGTGGTGAGTGTGGTGAGGTTGGTGAGTGTGGTGAGTGTGGGGAGTGTGGTGAGGTTGGTGAGTGTGGTGAGTGTGGTCAGTGTGGTGAGTGTGGTGAGGTTGGTGAGTGTGGTGAGTGTGGGGAGTGTGGTGAGGTTGGTGAGTGTGGTGAGGTTGGTGAGTGTGGTGAGTGTGGGGAGTGTGGTGAGGTTGGTGAGTGTGGTGAGGTTGGTGAGTGTGGTGAGGTTGGTGAGTGTGGTGAGGTTGGTGAGTGTGGTGAGTGTGGGGAGTGTGGTGAGGTTGGTGAGTGTGGTGAGGTTGGTGAGTGTGGTGAGTGTGGGGAGTGTGGTGAGGTTGGTGAGTGTGGTGAGGTGGTGAGTGTGATGAGGTTGGTGAGTGTGGTCAGTGTGGTGAGTGTGGTGAGGTTGGTGAGTGTGGTGAGTGTGGTGAGTGTGGTGAGGTTGGTGAGTGTGGTGAGTGTGGGAGTGTGGTGAGTGTGGGAGTGTGGTGAGGTTGGTGAGTGTGGTGAGGTTGGTGAGTGTGGTGAGTGTGGCCAGTGTGGTCAGTGTGGTGAGGTTGGTGAGTGTGGTGAGGTTGGTGAGTGTGGTGAGTGTGGTCAGTGTGGTGAGGTTGGTGAGTGTGGTGAGTGTGGGGAGTGTGGGGAGTGTGGTGAGTGTGGTGAGTGTGGTGAGGTTGGTGAGTGTGGTGAGTGTGGGGAGTGTGGTGAGGTTGGTGAGTGTAGTGAGTGTGGTGAGTGTGGTCAGTGTGGTGAGTGTGGTGAGGTTGGTGAGGTTGGTGAGTTTGGTCAGTGTGGTGAGGTTGGTGAGTGTGGTGAGGTTGGTGAGTGTGGTCAGTGTGGTGAGTGTGGTCAGTGTGGTGAGGTTGGTGAGTGTGGTGAGGTTGGTGAGTGTGGTCAGTGTGGTGAGTGTGGTCAGTGTGGTGAGGTTGGTGAGTGTGGTGAGTGTGGTGAGTGTGGTCAGTGTGGTGAGTGTGGTCAGTGTGGTGAGGTTGGTGAGTGTGGTGAGGTTGGTGAGTGTGGTCAGTGTGGTGAGTGTGGTCAGTGTGGTGAGGTTGGTGAGTGTGGTGAGGTTGGTGAGTGTGGTCAGTGTGGTGAGTGTGGTGAGGTTGGTGAGTGTGGTCAGTGTGGTGAGTGTGGTCAGTGTGGTGAGGTTGGTGAGTGTGGTGAGGTTGGTGAGTGTGGTCAGTGTGGTGAGTGTGGGGAGCGACTAACGCGGTGAGTGTGGTCAGTGTGGTGTTCATGGTGAGCGCAGTGTGTGTTGTGTGTGTGGGGTGTATGGTGTGTATGGTGAGCGTGGTGAGTGCGGTGAGCGACTAACGCCGTTGAGTGCGGTGAGCAGCGATGGAGGTGGAGTCGCCGCCGCACTTCGTGATGCCGCTGAGACACGTGGTGGCCGAGGAGGGATCGCCCTTCCGCCTCGAGGTGGTCGCGACCTCCCAGCAGGTCGCGGCCTGCCGGGAGGGTCACGGCGGGGAGGACGGAGAGGAGGGGCCGCTAATCACCTTCTCCTGGCTCAAGGACAAGCAGAGCGTCCACCCCTCCGAACACACCCGGTGAGTGAACACTCCTCACCTACGCTGCTCACTCACCGCTCACCAACACACACTCACCCCCACTCACCCCCACTCATTCACACACACTCACCCCCACTCAACCACACTCATTCACACACACTCACCCTCACTCACCCACACACATCCACACAACACACCCCCACTCAACCACACACACCCACACACACTCACCCTCACTCACCCACACACACCCACACACACTCACCCTCACTCAACCACACACACACACTCACCCTCACTCAACCACACTCACCCACACACACTCACCCTCACTCAACCACACTCACCCACACACACCCACACACACTCACCCTCACTCAATCACACTCACCCACACACACACCCCACACACACACTCACCCACACACACTCACCCACACACACCCACACACACACACTCACCCTCACTCAACCACACTCACCCACACACACACCCCACACACACACTCACCCACACACACTCACCCTCACTCAACCACACACACACACTCACCCTCACTCACCCACACTCACCCACACACACTCACCCTCACTCAACCACACACACCCACACACACTCACCCTCACTCAATCACACTCACCCACACACACACCCCACACACACACTCACCCACACACACTCACCCACACACACCCACACACACTCACCCTCACTCTATCACACTCACCCACACTCACCCTCACTCAATCACACTCACACACACTCACCCACACACACACACCCACACATACTCACCCACATGCACCCACACACACACACACTCACCCTCACTCAACCACACTCACCCACACACACTCACCCTCACTCAACCACACTCATCCACACTCACCCTCATTCAATCACACTCACACAACAACAACAACAACAACCGCCATTCGCCACTAAGTGGCGGTGACGTCACCACGATGCTTGTGCCAGGCCAAGTGCACCTTGAGGCCACGTGAAGTGTCGAAAGCCCGCTGGCAGGAGGTCACGGGGCAGACCCAGGTGCCACTGGTCGACTGACCGAGATGACCGAGATGACTGGCTGATGCACCACCTGTGCCCCCTACTGTGCCAACTTGCTGTGCTTTAGCCACCCGGCGCTCCGCTCGTTGTTGTGAGCGTCGCTCCTCCGCCCTCCGTTGTTGTTGGAGGGCGACTGCCTCCAACTGCCCAGTAGCGTCCTTCACGAGCCTCCTCCACTGAGGCCGATCTTGACACCGCTGGTACCAGTCATCGGCAAGTCCACTCAGCTCCACGTCCTCCTGTACCACATCACTCCATCTCTTCTCCAGCCCGTGCCGCGCCCGTCTAGCCCCCTCGATCCGGCCGAACAAAAGCTGTTTAGGCATGCGGTGGCTGGGCATGCGGGCTACATGACCCAGCCAACGCAGCCTTGTCTGCCGGAGGAGCTCACTGATGGGACTTTGCCCAGATCTTTCAAGGATTTGTGAGCTCCTCACACAATCCAGCCTGGTTAAACCCAGGATGGATCGTAGGCAGGCCAGCCTAAATGTTTCCAACCGGCGAAGATGCTCCACCAGGGGGGTCCACGTCTCGCAAGCGTAGAGAAGGGAGGGAATGACCGTGGCCGAGAAGACCTGAAGCTTCGTGCGGAGCGACAGACCAGGTAGCTTCCACACAGCGTTACGCAACCGATGAAAAGATATTGCCGCTCGACTGATTCGGAGTGAGACCTCTGCTGATAGACTGGAGCCGGTCATAAGCACACTGCCCAGGTATGGGAAACTCTCCACTCTCTCCACAACTGCCCCATCACCAATTGGGAGTTGTGGGGGTGGAGTGTCCGATGGTACAAAATACCCAGGCAGGTGCTTGGTTTTGGTGGGGCTGATGGTAAGGCCCCACCTCTTAGTGGCACGCTCCAGTCTCAGCAGCAGCGCCTCCAACTCCTCTTCTGAATGAGCAGCTATTACCAAATCATCGGCATACATAACGTGGTTGACCAATAGGGAGCCATCCCTTGATCGCACCCGGGCGTCGATCAGCCTCCCATTATATCTGTACCAAACGGAAATTCCCCCGGTACAGCTATTGAAGGCTTCACGAACTACGCGGTCAAAATAGATGTTAAATAATGTGGGAGCCAGAGGACATCCCTGTCGCACCCCAAGGTGTACAGGGAAAGGCTCCGACTCCCGGCCACGTAGTTTTACCCGGGCCCGCTCACCATCATGAAGGTCCTTAATGATCGTGAGCAGAGGGTCAGGGACTCCGAAAGCACGAAGAACAACCCAGAGTCCAGTCCTACTGATGGTATCATAGGCCTTGACCAGGTCAATAAAGCAGAGATGTAGGTCTTTTTGGAATTCCCTACACCTCTGCTGTAGCAGACGGACAGAAAATATGGCATCTGTGCAGGACCGCCCTTTCCTGAAACCGCATTGGGGCTCCGCAAGCCCCTCCTCAGCGTGCCTAGCAAGGCGATGTTGAATAATCCTTGCCAGGACCTTACCCGGCACACTGAGGAGTGAGATGCCCCTGTAGTTGTTACAGTCTGTGCGGTCCCCCTTCTTAAAGAGGGGGACCACCAGGGCATCCTTCCAGTCCTGCGGAACCCGTCCAGTGGTCCAGACTGTTGTTATGATGTCATATAGGGCAGTCTGTGCACAAACGCCACCCTCCCTCAGCATTTCGCTTGGGAGATCATCTCTGCCCGGTGCCTTCCCTGGTCTCAGACTCCGGATCGCCCTCAGTACTTCCTCAACAGCTGGAACCTCAGCCAGCCACTCACAGGGGGTGACCTCTTCCAATATTTGAGGCACCGCAGCCTCAGCAGGGTTATCCCCACTTTGTGCCATGATGTTTTCCTGGCTGAGAGAATTTCCCTCCCCCAGGACCTCACAGAAATGCTCAGCAAATCTGCAAACCTGTTCCTGGGGGTCGGAGATTGGATCACCGTTTTTTCCTCTAATGATGGTAATAGGTGTGGCGCTGCAGGTTACTTTTTTGATGGAGTTAAATAGTGATTTGTGATCACGGGCCACTGAGGCAGACTCCATCTCCTCAGCAACCCGCGACCACCACCCATCCTTACAACGCCTTACGGCTCTCCGAACTTCCGAGCGAAGGCTGCGGTAAACCTCCTCATTCTCTGACGTGGGATGCTGTAGGCGATGAGAGTGGGCCTGTCGCTTTTTCTCAATTAACCTGAACACCTCCTCTGTCAGCCAGGGTTTCTGGGGAGGTCTGGACCGCGTACCCAAAGCAGCCATTGCAGCTGCATGAGTCACAGTCCTAAACCTCGCCCATTTACCCTCGACATCAGGTGGAGTGGGGGACGATGCCAACCCCAGCTGCAAGCGATGATGAAATTCTCGCTTGCAACTTTCATCAGCTAACTGAGACCAGGCCACTTTTGGTTGGAATGGGATCCTGGGTGTACACCCACCACCGGAGTGGAAGAAAGGCAGGCGCATCTTACAGATGACTAGTCGATGGTCAGAGGACAGATCAGCTCCACGGTAGGTCCTGGTGTCAAGGACATGGGTTCGCATCCGCTGGTCCGTCACTATGTAGTCTAGCAGATGTTCTTGCTTGGACCCGGCATGTATCCATGATGTTGTGTGGATGCGCCGATGCCGGAAGAGCGTGTTGGTAATTACAAGCCCATGGGCTGCACAAAAATCTAGCAGCCTCCTACCGTTGTTATTGAGCTGATCTGGCCCATGCCTTCCAATCACTCCAGACCAGGTGTCAGCATCATGACCAACTCGGGCATTGAAGTCACCCAACAAGATGACTCTGTCCCGAGTGGCCACTTTAGCCAGCACCTGTGACAGGAGGTCATAGAAAGCGTCTGACTCATCGGCTTTGCTTGCATCCCTCCACGGATGTTCGTCTTCGGTGGGGGCATAAGTAACCACGACCACCACTCCTCGCCTCTGGTTGATGGGAAGGCGAGCCCAAAGTATCCTGGGGCTTACAGCTTCCCACACCTCACCGCCACGCTCCCACGCCCCCTTCATTCTTTTGTTCAGAAGAAGAGCCACACCCTGTTGTTTGGCAGTCTCCTGCCCCGAGTAGAGGACTGTCCACCCCTCATGGTGGCAGGAGCCAGAACCGGTCCACCGGACCTCCTGAATGCCACAGAGATCCAGGCGGTACCGGTCCAGCTCCCGACAGAGGAGTGGCAGCCTCTCCTCCGCAGTGAGCGTTCGAACATTCCACGTGGCCATCCGCAATGGTTTTTTGTTGTTTCTGGAGGAGCCCCGAGGGTGAAAATTCAATCTCCTGGCTCCGCCAAATGGGGTTTGGCCAGGAGACGTCATAAAAGCCTGACCCCCCGGGGCCTCCGGCACAAGCTTATTTGTTACAGATTTATGTTTAATTCGTGGTTTAGTGGTAATGAATTGAAGGTGGAGGGGTTACCAGCCCCTCACACCCGTCCAGAGCCCCCGTTTAGCCACTGTGGTGGTCACAGACGCCATGAGGGGAGAGGCCAATGGGCATTGGCCCTCCCCCCACAGCACTGCCCACGACAGTGTTGCCCGTCCGGCACCGCGAGGAGGTAGGAGGTTGTTTTGCCGGACACTCACACACACACTCACCCACACACACACTCCCCCCCACTCAACCACCCCCCCCCCCCCACTCGCCCCTCCCCCTCGCCCCGGACCCCCGCCCCCCCTCCCTCAGGATGCACGAGGACGGCTGTGGCTACGCGTGCCTTGTGATTGGCCAGGCGGGGTCACGTGACGCGGGCTGGTACTCGGTCTCCTGCCGCTCGCGCTCCGGCCTCCTGGCGTCGTGCACGGCGCGCGTCACCGTACAGCCCCGATACGGTGACCGTGGCAACGCCACGCCCCCATGGCAACGCCACGCCCCCATGGCAACGCCCCCCCCTCCCCGCATAACAACGCGCTTTCTCATTGCCGTGGCGACACATTCCCTCCCGATTTAAAGCTTTCGTGACTGCAGGGATTCATCTTCTTGGTTCTTTTGGTAAAGTCACGTAGAATGGAAATAATAAAATAATTAAAATAAAACATTATAAAATCATTCTCACGACGTTTCGGCCACAACGCAAGCAGGCGTCCTCAGGTGGAGAACAGGTCTGTCTGGAGAACAGGTCATCTGGTCCAACACCAATGGAGACTAGGCTCTAAGAAAAGCTGTCTCGGGTGTGGACCAATCAACTTCAAGAACAGTGCATATCATTACCATTATCAGAATTGTTTCCTTTTGTTTGCATTTTGACTGCTTGTGTTGTGGTTATTGCAAACATGATGCCTTGTATAAAGGTGTCAGTTTTTGTACCAGTTGAAAGGGTAAAAACCTATTACTATATTTTGCCACTGGTAAAGGAGGTCTCATAGTGTAAATGCTTACCCCGAGCTCTCAATACTCAAATAGTGCGCTGTCTTTGAGTTGTACGCCTTTTGGCGTCATCTGGTCCAACACCAATGGAGACTAGGCTCTAAGAAAAGCTGTCTCGGGTGTGGACCAATCAACCTCAAGGGCAGTGCATTTCATTACCATCATCAGAGTTGTTTCCTTTTGTTTGCATTTTGACTGCTTGTGTTGTGGTTATTGCAAACATGATGCCTTGTATGAAGGTGTCAGTTTTGTACCAGTTGAAATGGTAAAAACCTACTACTACGAGACTCCTCCTGTACGCTAGTCTCTTGCGTGCTCATCCGGTCACTCGACCTATACTTCAACTCGTGTCCTCCCGTGTGTCTCTCCCCCCTCCCCCCTCCCCCCACGTGCAGGACCGTCCCCCACGTCCCCGGAGCCCCCCCCATGGGGGTGCGAGCGTCGCAGCGCTGGCGGGGGTCGCTACGCCGCTCTGGGGGGGCTCGGAGCCGCCGTGCGAGCTGCCTTCGCCCCCCGCAATGCCCTCTGAACCCCCCCCCCTCTCGCCCCTAGACGCACGCTGTCCCATGGCGCCTGTCCGCAGAGGTCGCAAACGGGTTTTGATTCCTTACCCGTACCCGTACCCGGCTGCACCAGGGTCGCAAATGGGTACCCGTACCCGTACCCTACTCGAAATGAGTGACAAACGGTGACTCACCAGTGACTCACGGCCTACCCGTACCCGACTGGGTACGGGTAGCCGGGTATCGGGTAGGGTACGGGTATCGGGTACCCGGTTGCGACCTCTGCCTGTCCGGCACGGATGATGATGATGATGAGAGCCATGATGATGATGATGAAGAGAGCCATGATGATAATGATGATGAGAGCCATGATGATAATGATGATGAGAGCCATGATGATGATGATGAGAGTGATGATGATGAAGAGAGCCATGATGATAATGATGATGAGAGCCATGATGATGGTGATGATGATGAGAGTGATGATGATGATGAGAGTGATGATGATGGTGATGATGAGAGCCATGATGGTCACGGTTGGATTCCGATGGAGCTGCCCTCCTTTACTCTCTTCGACGCGTTTGAAGGGCGTCCCCAGTGGAGCCGTCCCTGGCAGCAGCATTCGTCTGCTGCCAGTCTCAGGGGGCGACGGTTGCTGCTGAGGCCGGCCACTCCCAGTGGAGTCACTTTGCAGCACAATGTTTCAAATTCGCCTCTTTTGGATTCGTGATGCCGGCACACGATGGCATACGATGTCGAACGACATCACGAGATCTTGTAACGTCCGCTGTGGGTGAAGCGGGCGGCGCGTGGTGGTGTTGTTCCGGTTGATACGCACGACTGCGGTATTAATCATGGCGGCCGCCAGGCTCGAAGCACAAACATCTCCCAACTGCTGGGTCACTGCCCCAAATCGACTCCGAATTCTGGTCCCTGAGTTCACGGTGGTAGAGGGAGGAGGAGGATGAGTAGCTGTAGAGAGGGAGGGGAAGAGGGAGGGAGGGAGGGGAGGGAGGGAGAAAATGGAGGAGATGGAGCAAAGGGGGAGAATGAGAGGGAGGGGGAGGAGGAATGGGGAGAGGGAGGAGGAGAGGGGGGAAGGAAGGGGAGGAG